CCTTCGGTGCCCTTTCAACGAATTACAGTACATTATTGAATGATTTGATGCACAATAGCGGGGGAATTGTTGGTATGACAAAGCGCATGTTTTGGGGCATATTTAAAAAGGCTTGGGAGCTCACTTGTACGAGGCATAATATCTTACGATCCTTCGAAAAAACGGGCATATATCCTATGAATAGGAGTCTTACGATCGACTGTATTGCTCCGGAAGCTCCTTCTACGCCACCTACATCATTTAAAACTCGCAGGGATGCTCTTGCTACACCGTATACGTCAAAAGCGATGCGTAGAATGAAATTAGAATTTCGTCGCGCTCCCACCCATGAGATCACTTTAAAGCTTTTTAAGGCTGCAACTACATTAGGAGCTGAAGCTTCTATACAGGGGCATAGATCTAAAGGTTTAGAAGAGGCTCTAAAGCTTGAAAAAAGGAAAAGAGCTCGTTCAAAGCGTTTAAATCTCATTGGAGAGGAGGGGAATGGTGCGTTTTTATGGTCACCCTCTGCTATTATTAAAGCTAGAGCGTATCAAGAAGATAAAGCACTTAAAGAGGAGCAAGAGAAGGAAGCTAAGCTTCAAATAAAAGCTGAAAAGAAAGCTGAGAAGGAACGGAAGGAGATTGAGACGAAAGAGAGAGTATTGCAGAGGGAGGTTGATCGTCAGATTGCACGTGATGCGAAAGAGGAGGTTAAAAAGACTCTAAAATCAACGAAATCTCCAATCAAAAGAGATAAAAAGTTCCCCAAAGCTTCTTCTACTATAGATCTAACATCAACAAAGACTATAGAGCTCTCTGATGCTGTAGAGGCTAATAATTCGAAGGAGAAGGAGGAGGAGGTCATATTGCGATCTAGTAGAGGGCGAGCACTACGAGTTCCATCGAAATTCAAAATCTGAAGATTTTATTATGTTTTTAGATAGTATTATATCTTGTCATTTATCAATTAAATTGCTAGCTCTTTATCTTATAAATTGGAATTGTTATTAATTTTTAAAGTGATTCAAAATGGGTGATCAAGATCGTGCATATAGCAGGGACGTGCACGTAGTAGGGAAATCGGTTACGATTGAATGCCAGTCAAAATACATTATCATTGCAGTCTCTATTTACTAATTGCTTTTTTCTGTACATAGCTTAGCTCCCGTCTCTAAGAAAAAGGACAACATTGACAGGACTTATGTAGTGGGTGCTACGTCATCTATACTCTCGTCTTATAATCAATTAGAACTTAAAGGTTAAAAGCTCTTTCTGCATATCGATCATACATTTAGTAATGCACTTAACATAGTTTCTGGCAAGCAAACTCACTAATTTTCAGTCCCGTATTCATTCACACCGAGTACCTAGGTAAATAGCTACCCCTGCTACTGTGTGTGTGTGTAAACCCGACAACTCCGAAATACATTAAGCCTTTCTGAATTGAAGGTTATCTCCTATGTCCTATTTCCAGATGCAAAGAATCCAGACGCTTTTACAACCCACAGTATTCATCTAATCACATCGTACATCTAAAGCTTATTCCATAGTAGGAAAGATGTACGTTCGAATTTATAAAGTGATACGTCACAATGCAGACGAGCTGAGCTCAATTAACCCCTCATCTGAGTCATCTCATTCTTCGAAGCGCTTTAGAAAGTAACAGCAGATCCTTCCCCTCCTTCCTCCCAACCCTTCTATAAAGCTTCTCAATCATACAAATGAAGAGATCATTTCCTCTCCAAACTATATTCCAAACCTCAAGATCAAGATTCTATTCCTCACAAACTCATCGTTCAATATCACTGCTGCAAGTAAAGCTTCACAACATCAACGCGTCTCCTTCGTCATCCATCTCCAACTCGGGTCTTCCACACCAACAGCGTGTCACAGGATCCAACAACTTTTCTCAATTTTCTGACACCAGTTCCCGATTTACGAAATCGTTTCATACGCACCCATCACGTTCTAACAAGAATACCAAAACTTCTGCAAATATGTCACCCATCAATTCCTTGAAGCCAGGTAACACAGCCTTGATCACGGGTGGCGCCTCAGGAATCGGATTTAGTTTTGCGGAAAAATGTGTAAAGGCGGGATTGAACGTTATTCTGGTTGATAACAATGGAGACAATCTGGGGGCTGCGCAGATGTATTTGAGTCAGTTGAATGGGGAGGGACAGGTGGTAGGGTTGAATATTGATGTTGGAGTTGAGGAGGACTGGGAGAGTATTAAGGATGTTGTGGAGGGGGATTTTGATGGTACGTTTCTGCTTTTTTGGGGAGTTTGTCTCTGATTCTGGGGGATGGATACATGAGTTTCTACCTATTCATGGAATCGAAGAATAGAACAGGGAAAAAGAAAGATAAATAAACAAGTAAACTAACCGCTCCCAGGAACCCTCCACATCCTTTTCCTCAACGCAGGATTTTCTACCCGCGGCTCCTTCGCCACCCCCTCCTCCTCTTCATACTTCAGCAAAATCCTCTCTGTAAACCTCTTCGGTGTCATAAACGGCATCAACACCCTCCTCCCCTCCATAACATCCCACACCAACCCCTCCTCTATCATCATCACGGGTTCCAAACAAGGAATCACCAATCCCCCCGGAAACCCCGCTTACAACGCCTCGAAAGCCGCTGTCAAGACGCTCGCCGAACATCTCTCCTACGATTTGCGCGAGAAGAAAAATGTAGGTGTTCATCTCTTCGTGCCCGGGTGGACATACACCGGCTTGACAGGGAGTGGCTCGCCTTTTATCGTTAATGCGGATAAGGCGGAGAAAGCGGGGTTGGAGAAGAAACCCAAGGGAGCGTGGTCTGCAGATCAGGTGACGGAGTATCTAGAGGAGAAGATGGGAGAGGGGAAATTCTACATCGTGTGTCCGGATGGGGATGTGAGTGAGGAGATGGATCGTAAGAGGATGGCGTGGGGAGCGGGAGATATTGTAAATGGGAGATTACCGTTGAGTAGGTGGAGGGAGGAATATAAGTCGGAGTTTGAAGAGTTTGTGAAGAAAGATTTGTGAGGGGTGTGTGCTTGTGAGTTGTTATCAATGAGAAGGATGAGGGGTTGAGATGGGATGAAAATTGAATGATTAGCGATTGCTACTGCTATTGCGATTGTCATCGATACTAAAGTAAAGTGATGTGATGTGATGTTAAACCTCACATCCCCAAGAAACCCCCATCCCTACGTACCCAACATTCCCACTTTACTAGAGCTCGAATCAAAGCAAGGTAAATCGAACAGTACCTACCAGCCATGTATATATGAATAATTATCAAAAATCTGCATCCATATATACCCCCTCGCAGTGAATAAATCATAACACTTATCTACCTACCTGCTTATCTACACACTCATATCATTCATTTCCAATTACTTGGTCCAATTATATACGCAGTACATAATACATAGTAAATATAAATCCAGCAGATCTGCCTAGGTACTAAATACATTCAACTTTCCTATTCATATATTGATTCATCTGTCCCATTTATATATCGATTTATCTATATACCTATTCATCTATCGACCTATCTATCTAACTATCCATCTATACCTCCTTAATCCCCTCTCACCTTCCCTCCTTCAAGATGAGAAATGAGATATGAGATTTGATATGAACTATCACACACACACACACACACACACACACACACACACATTCCAGACAGAGAAGAAAAAATCATGCAAACCTCCAATATACAATATACAATATACACATCAATTGATTTAGTAACCTCTCATCTTCTCTTCTCTTCTCTCCTTTTCATCCATTATATATATCACAACTCTTCTCCTTTCAATTCATCTCATCTCATCTAATCAGCACTCTTCAAGGATGTTCATTTTTGATATTCTCAAAGTCTTTCTTATATCTGTATTGATTTGCCCATGCATTTGTATTTGCATTTGCATTTATCTTCTTTCTCCATAATCTTACGCCGTACTAAACCGCGCCATACTAATCCATCCATTCTACCATCCCATCCCATCCCATCCCATCCAATCCTATCTTGGCTTTCCTCTTTCTTTTCCTCTTCCCCTCTGCCAAACCCTCCCATTCTCCTCTATCTTCAACTTCACCTTCCACACCTCTCTAAAACTAAACAACACATCAATCAAACATCCTACCATCGCACCCCATCCCATATCTCTCCTAAATCCCAATCCCAATACGAAAATCCCTCAAAACGCGATCGATTCCCAATCCCGCATTTCGAATTTTCAAATCCCAAAAGGTACCAAAAAAGAAAAAAGTGCTAGTGCCCATCTGTCCATATCCATTGTATCCCAGCAAGCTAAGTACCTAGTAGGTAGCGAATATAATTATTAAAAAAAACCTCTCTCTGGTCCATCTTTCATGATTCTCAAACACGAGCTGCCAATTGTAACAAAGGAAAAGAAGTAGGATGGAATACATCGAAATCAAAGATCCGCCGTGTACAAAAATTTTGAGATGGGATAACGCTCAACAAGGAAGGAAGAGAGAACACTCTTCAAAATACCCCAGCCTTGATTACATTTGCTTCACAGATGCAAATATATGAAGACCAGTGGGGGTTGTTCTCCGTCTCGACAAATCGTAGCAAAGAAATGGGTGATAGATGCACAGCGAGTTTGAAAGCGAAATTTGAGAGAGTAATGTAGCAGCTGAGAGTTATGGCTACGAAGAAAAGTAAAAGTAACAGAAATTCATGTCAAGTCGTTATAGATTGCTTCCAGCTCCATGAAACCGAGAAAGAAAGGGCTATCGAATGCTGCACTTCAGATGCACCAACGAAGTAAAAAATCCCGAGACCTTGCGCCACGCTAGCAAATGCCGATCGATAAATGGACAATGATTGGAAAAGAAATCATTTGATGTATGACAAATGGGATAGATTTATGGACTCGTGTTTTTCTAGAATTGCCGTGTCGCGGAAGTCTCGGAACCTAGGTCCAAACGCATTCCCACCCTAAATGACTCGAAAACTCGACGAATCTTATTCTTGAGCCCCACGGATAACCATTAGAAGGGTGTTGAAAGTCCGTTCTTAGATTGCCGTTTACTGAAACGATGTGACTTCTTTTTAGCGTCGCCCAAGGATTCTTCTCCCCCAAGGCTAGCTTGACTTTTGGTTAAGTGATTTCGACCTGACCGATCACTTGGACCATAATTATCTTGATAGATGCTTGGTCCATGAAGAGTGCTAGTAGGACTCGTGGCGGCGGACGACATATCAAATCCAGCGCCACTGTTATAAGAGCCAACCATATTTTGTGATAAAGCCATATCTTTGGCTTTTTCAATGGCTTCAATCCATTCCTGTACCGATGTTTTCGAAGGATCATTGGCGGTTGTTGAAGTCTTGGTATCTTCGAATGTATAATGTGTCCCGCGCTATTTATGATTAGTATTGGATAGATTGTTGGGTTTGGAATAACTTACTGTGTCCACGCACCACACAGATTGACCTTTGGAATCAGATTGCACTCTACATGAGCAATCGGAAGCTAGTAAGGAGATCTCTGTTTTAGTCTTCTTCTCATCGCCTCCCGCAGCAGCAAGAATAATTCTCGCACTAGATGTAACCATCACAAGCCTTGCTCTTTTCTTAGTCGTTGAACCTCCGAAAAATCTAGCAAATCCTCCCTTCTTTTCAGGAACTTCTTCACCATTCCTCGAATTGGGACTATGTGGTAACGGCGACGATATAACCATCAAGTTTCCCAATTTCAGGATGCGTTCATTGTTCCGTGTCAATACGGGTGACCATTCGATATCCAGCTGAGTTGGTGGAGGAAGTTCGGTGATTATCCTGGGTTGTGGCCTTGAATTGCCATTTGATGGAGTAGGTTGCGGTGGTACTCGTGATGCCGGCGGTGTGGTCGAAAATGTATTGTTGAGCATGATCAGTTGAGGTTCTTGCGCCGGTGGAACATAAGGCTTTAATCTGGGGGCTTTAACCTTCCACAGTTCGCGACTGAATCTAACTCCATCAAAAAATTCATGGTTTTTAATGTGCTCGATCGATAATCTTCTTTGTGGGTCAAGAATAAGGAGCCTTTCGACAAGATCTCTAGCAGCAGGGGGGAATCCTGGGGGGAACTCATACTCCAAACTGACAATCTTTTGAAAGGTTAAGTATTCATTCGCAGCTTTGAATGGAGGTCGGCCAGCCAAGAGCTGGTATATAATACACCCATACGCCCATAAATCACTAGCTTTGCAAGCATTTTTATCCGTCAACAATTCAGGGCTGACGTACTCTGCTGTCCCAACAAAAGAACTTGCTCTTGTTGATTCATCTTCGCCATTGCTAGTTATGTCATATGGCTTCGATAAGCCAGGAGCGGGGAGTAATTTAGCAGTTCCAAAGTCCGTGATCTTAATGTGCATTTTATCATCCAATAGAACATTTTCTGGCTTCAGATCTCGGTGTATCACGCCCTTCTGGTGCATACAGTCTATTGCCTCAAGAAGTTGAGCGCCGTAGAATCTTGTACACTCCACATCAAATGATCCAATCTTCTTCAATACTCCCAACAATTCTCCGCCGCTAGCGTACTCAAGGACGTAGTATAAACATGCGCTATCTTGGAAGGTGAAGAATAATCGAATGATGCCTGTGTAAAAATGTCAGAATAAAATGGCGCTGTGATGGGATGTGTGAATAACAAGAAAAAGACACCTGGATGGCACTCTTTTACAAGTCAGCCGGTGGCATCTTGCTTACCTGGGTGGTCTGATAATCGATTCAAAGTGTCTTTCTCTATATTCACATATTTGATCTTTTTCTCCTTAATTATATGCTTCTTGTCCAAGATCTTCACGGCATGATCTATTAGTGTCTGACGGTCGGTTGCAAATAACACAGTGCTGTATGAGCCCTCTCCTAAAGTTCGCCCAAAGATAAAATCTTGCACTCCCTTCCTTACTTGCTTTAAGTGTACTTTTCCATCCGCATCAACCTCCTCACGAACACCGACTGCGGCACCTCTAACTTTCCACTCCTCGGCGGTGACCACGTTTCCTTCGGTGTCATAATGTGTATTAGCAGCAGCCATGGAATGTGCCGGGTTATCGTAACCTCCGCCCACTCCTCTCGAAGTTCGCCTTGGTGGCACAGGCCCGTTACCCGGTGGCATGTTAAGGCTGTTATTATATGATCGTTCTCGATGACTCGCTTCTCTGGAGGGCACTCCTGCCTGCATTGCTGTGGCTGCCGACCTGGAATCACTCCTTGACGGTATTCCCCCGTGTATTGAAGATTGCGAAGATTCGCTTCTCACTCTGTACGATCCGTGATCTCTATTTGGAATTGCGTTTGGAGGAGGTTGCGCTGCGTAGACACCTGAGGTTGGTCGAGTGGCACCGGGAGGAGGATATGCTCGATTTCCGTTTTGCATTGGATGTGGTTGATATGGGGGAAATGCTTGTTGTTGTTGAGATTGATGATTCATTGGCATTGATTGTCGATAGGGCTTCGCTGCAACGGGTCTTGGCAGAGGCTCTTGTTGCGCCTGCACTTTTGTAGATTCACCACTACTCGATGCCGAGCGTGAACTCGGGCGTTTCGGATCTGAAGTCTGTGGAAATTCGGGGGTGGAGATAGAATTCGAAGAAGGGTCGGTAGGTGAGCCACGTCGGAGGATATTAAAGATGGAATGTCGTTTTGATTGCGTTTGGGAATCTGGGGTTTTCCGCGCGTCCTTGGATTCCGAAGAGGTCGAATCCGCGGCTTGATGTGGCATAAATGTCGATTCGTGATTTGTATGTTCGTGATTGCGATCATTTGAAGTTTCTAGAGTTGATGTACCGGACGATGCATCATCAGGATTAGCTATCCGCAAACCACCTAAGGATTGGGATAGGGATAAATCGTTCTCCATAATGGCCCTATTTCGTCGTTGTGAGGAGTTTACCAAACAGTAGCGTGGTAAAATGGCCGTCAAGCAGCGAAATTGATCCTAGACTTTATCATCCCAATGCCAATCTTATCAAGGTCGGCCCTGGCTGTTCTAGCGGATGGTATGAGTAGGTCGAAATGGCAAATGGAAAATGGAAAGAAAGGCAGGATGAGAGTTGAGCGAGCGAAATAAGAAATAGAAAGGTAATGGGTATAATTCAATTCCCTAAGCAGAAGAGAATGAGTAACGAATGAATCGAATATGGGAGAGTCTTGGTAGTCCTAAACTTTTTTTTTTTTGAATCTGGAATTGAAATGGATATGTATCTGTACGACAGACAAGTCAAAATGTTGCTTGATCTGCGTACGCTATTGTGGCTTTGGTGTAGGTATGTACCGTGTCCGGGTATGTAGGTCTGATTTTAAAATTCTTGGTGTTTTATTTTACTGGGGTGATCCAAAGATAGAAATAATAACGGAGAAATCAAACTACTGAGGATGAGGATTGATCATGAAGAGAGAATAATAATAATAATAATAATAATAGTAGTAGTAGTAGTAGTAGTAGTAGTAGTAGTAGCAGCAGTAATATAAAATGATATGATATGATATACGTGCGATCGATATACATCTGCTGCTCTCGTTCTCATTGCACTCACTCTTTTCGGACGGCTGAGATTCGGAAAATTAGAATGATTGAATGGTTATATTAAATCCAATCTTCATCCGAATTGGGACTTGAGAGTGAGTAGTGAAGACTAATATTTAATTACAAACGAAATGAAGAGCTCGAAAGATCTTCTGGTGTTCCATTGATTCCCAAATGACTACTGCTGCTGTAGTGATGAGTGAGGAATTGAAAGTGGAAAGAAGGTTCGGGTTCGAGGCAAAGAAGGTGACAGAGGAGAAGGTCTTTTGTGTGGATATTCGTATGGACATATGTCCATATGTCCATATGGATGGATATGTGTGGATGGATATGTGTGGATGGATATGTGTGGATGGAGTGAGAGGAGGCTGAGGGATACTAGGTGATCATGAGGGAAAAGCTATATTTGGCTACTTTGTTCTCTAATACAATATACAACAAATGATACACGGAAACTTAGGAGATGCCAGGTGGTAGTTGCATGCCCAGGTGGATTCAGTATATTTTATACGTATGGCTTATGAAGATACATACCTATGTACTAGGCATGCATTGTTCTTTGAACAGACGGGAGCATTCATCAATCAAATCAGAGACATCGTAGTCACTTCTTGGGAAGATGGGTATAACTGTGTAGTCGTAGTCGTAGTAGTAGTAGTAGTAGTAGTGATTGAATGAATGTAGTATATATATATATATATACAGTACATAGTATGGGTATATATATATAGATGTGAATTCATCATATAGTCAGTCGGTCACATGGCACTGATAGCAGTGAAATATTGCCAGCACAGTTCACCAGTGGTTCTCTTTCTGATTAGTCATTGGAGATGTTCTGGAGATGGTCGTGAGATGTCATTTCAATTGCGACAGTTACTATGGTAGTAGTCAGTCTACTACCGGTATCTAATATATAAAATTTACATTCATCAAAATCTACTTATTATTCCTCGCATGAAAAGGACTCCAGCTGCTCCTGATTATTCTCCTGATTATTGTCCTGCAGTTCATATGCATTGAATACCGCCTTAAGCCACCCGAGGTTAAATACTTATTAGGTAGTATTCAGGTACCACTTCTTCCATCCCATACCATTGATTACTACGAGCTAGTTAATTACCTAGCAATGCACTTACATGCTTTCAGATCGTCTTGTTTTTGGTCTTTATGAAAGATCAACTACCACGAACGTGATCTCCCATACCATCTTTATCGTTCTTCTGTGCGGTCATGATTTATTTCACTATATCTCTACCTCACTAACCCGTGCTTTATCGCTGATTTGACTAATAAGCCTGTTTGATTTAAATTCGAAATTGTTGGTTGTTATTTATAGGAAACAAGCCTTCAAACCGCCGTTGACCTTTGATCTCCCGAGTTCTGACATCAAACAATCAGAATATTATATTCCTCTTTTTCTCAAGAAGCCAGTTCGGAAATGCATCTTTTAATCGTGTAAGATCATCTCCTTCACATAAGTCTCTATACGGCTATATCACGTCACTAGGTATCCATTCTCACTTGCAACTTATACGTACGATATTATTATCCCAAATCTCAGTAGATTGGGGTGCCAATAGAAATGTGTTATTTCGCATCGCTTTATTCTGATTTGTTCTTTCCTTCTCATCAATCGATGGTTCGAGAGATCCAAAGTCGATCTATCTGATCCTTCCTTTCGCGATGAGGGTATTGTTCTTTCCTCTTCAGGTGGATCCTCTTCGGGTGGACCACCTTGACGAGCTCTCTCCGCAATGAACAAATGGCTTCTCGCAAGATTGCATAGCATACCAATTCTTTTCCCTTCTCAATTCTATGTCCAGTCAGTAAGATAGTGATGATTCGGCTACCTCCATCCCTTATAACCATTGGTTTGGGCGATATCAAAGACTACGACAGACGCACAAAACGTCGGGTCAAGTCACAGCTAAATCCACAAGCCGCGCCTTTCAAACATCAGATTATTCTACCAATTAGATCCATCAGTCACAGAAGCAGAATTCATGGTTCATCTGCTGACACAATAGCAAACACCGATGGAAGTCATCTCACAAACCAGCCCAATCAAGAACCGGTTCAAAGTCATCATATCCCAAGACTTGCATCACCTCTTCCATTGGAGTGTATTATACAATTGCCTGCTCATGCTCATACTCAGGATTCTGATATTTCGGAATGGGAAAACGCATCGCCCCGCTCTTCTGATGGTACAATCACAAACAACCAATTTGTGGATGGCTCTTCATATGAAGCAGAGCTTCCCGAGATGCACAATGTCAGAAAGTCGGAGACATTCGAAGAATGGCTAGATGCGAGGCGTGGAAAGATATTTGACGTGCCGGAGACCCAAAATAGCCAAGAGTCGGCGGAGCTTGAAGCGGGCGATGAATCTTTCGAGAACTCCGGTATTAGGCGGCTCTCTTCCCCTTCCAAAGACAACTTCGACTACGGCGGGTTTGTTGAAAGTCCCAGTCAGCAAGAAAGTGACCAGAGTCGAGGATCTTCACCTTTCGGTAAGATTGTACTCTACAGGACAACTGGCATCATCACGCAAAAGCTTTGAGTGTTGAACATTCTTTAAATCATTAATTTGATCAAAATTTAGCAAAATTACTAATATCTCTTAGAACCAGAGGACGCTTCGACAACCCCTCATATACAGGCACCAGCAGCACAGAGACTACCAGCTCGTACAAGACTACCGCGCTCACCTTTGTCCTTGGCACAAAATGCATCAAGCTCACCAGAGCGACATGTAGGTGTACCCTTCACTATCAGATCCATTTAATTGCTTTGCATGTCTTCCCGGGAGTCATTATTAATTCTATAATGTTGTAGACTACGGCTAGTTTGACACCTAGAGTCGTATCTCGCATAGCTACCCACAATACTCCAGGGTTTTTGTTTGCGCAGCCGGCTCGACGCCCTGGACCTAGCCCTCATACTCAATCTACACATCAACCTCGCACATTGAGGCACCAAACGAATAGCTTTTCATTTGATGACTCGGAAAGATCTAGTGTCGCTTACGAACAAGAGAGAGCACTATCTTCATCTACAACCGATAGTCGACCACGACCATCGGAAAGCCTCAATCTTCGTCAAGAATTGCGTGGAAGCTCTTTACAGAGTTCTCGAATACCTTCATTTGCAAGCTCTGCTCGCAGTCAAGAGCGTCCTCCGTCAGACCGAGCAGTATTAATGGAGCCACAAGAGATTGAAAGTGAGACAAATACTTATGAGCCCGTTCGTGATGAAGAAATGGACCCACACAGTCTTGTCTCAATTGCAGAGCAGTCAATAATATCAACAACCATTTCCTTTCATCGCTCCAAACAAGTGCATTTACCACCACCATTCTCAACCGTTTCCAGGTCGAATTCAAGGGCAGGATCACTCCCGAGCTCCCCATCAGATGCATATCAAAACAAAACTTCACCCACCAGCATCGTCAGAAGCTGTTCGAGTGGCCCTTCAGGAAGTCCTTCAAGGAATATCTCTGTCTCAAGCTCTGTTATTAGTCAGCTAATCCGAGAGCATGATGATAGGCAAGCATCGAGCCCACCTGTAAGTTCGCTTGAATATATACCTTCACCTCTTCTAACCTTCCTCACGCAATAGTCCGTTGGGCGTCGACGATTGAATCCTATTGTCAGAGCTGCTGCACGCTTGTTTTCGAGTCCCAATTCCCGCTCGCCCCCACGCAATTCTCCTCCTCCTTCACCTTCTCCATCGCCACGTCGACGTCGCACGCGCCCACAGCCGACTCCAAGAAGAGACAGCGATACAGCTCCCCAAACATATACTCCATCTAGGAGATACTCAGTGTACAACGATTCTCTTCCTGCAGCTTCTCAGCCTCAGACCCCGGCCCACTTACCCGAAGCTCGACATCAATCTCGTTATCATCCATCTTACACTGCACCCACAACTCGATCCATGGGTCGATTGAGAAATATCCTTACCGAGCACAGTGCATCAACTCCAGTTCGACCCAGCGACCCTTTCCATCAAGATTCTAGCCAAAGATGGATGTATGTGACTGATGCGAGAAGAACGAGACAGAGGTCAGGTTCGCCAGCAGGAATGTCAGATGATGGCTTTCGAGGTCTTTATGGTGGGAGAGAAAATGGTGATGATGAACAGAGTTGGATTGATGGAGTTAGAGCTCGCAATGCTGAGATGAGGAATTGGCAGACTCAAAGCGATGAAGGAAGGCTGGAGGATGATGAATAAGATGGGGTTTATGGTATTCAAGGAAGCCCTGTTAGGGTTGTATCGTTGTGGTTTGTGTTTATGGCAAACCATGTTGATATTGGCATTTGAAGCTGGAGTGTTTTGACAACATGGAGAAGTAAGATTATTACCTAACGGGCAACATTATGAATGCGAGGGTACTCATTATAGTTTATTGTAGGTGGGGAAGAGGTGCGTGTGTATACATGTGCGCTTTTTTAGGTATTGTATTAGTATGGCTAGCGAATAGAATGAGACTACATAGAGTCACGAATCGAGGGCATCTACTGAAGCTTTATGAGAAGTGTTGGATGTGTGTGTTACCTATCATGTAATATCATCTTCTCTGTGTTAGAAAATTACCCACCGAGGTATCTGAGGATATAAAGGAACAAAAATGAAAATGTTCCGAAGCGTTCTAGATTCTAATCCTTTATTGGATTGGATTCATTGCTGCAACCTTAAATACCGGTAGTTGAATCAATATGACGTTTCTTACGGACGAGAAAGTGTTTTCGCTCCCAGTCCATACCATACCGGGACTTTTCCAGGGACAAGGGGTCAAATCAAGGTTGCGGCTGATTCCCAAAATGGCTTAGTGCAGATCTTATTTTGTAAGGAAATTATTGCTATGACGATGACATCCTTTTTCTATCTCTTTCTATGCTGAGGAACCTGACTCTCGAGGTTAACAGGCCACGCATCGGATCATAACCTCCTGTACGATACTCCTTCTGGAATTTGTGTGTTGAGATCTAACTTGTTTTGGATCCGGCATGGGAAATATAAGTCAGTAGAGGTAAACCAAGGTGAGCCAAGGTAAACTCTATCAAGGAAAAAGATTCAAAATCCAAGCGCGGACCATTTACTCCCAATTCTTCTTGCATATCAAGTAATTGGATTAAGGTCAACTGTCTCTACAGAAATTTTTGAGGTTGATATCGGAATAAAGAAGGTGTTTCACTTACTGCTGGTATACAATCGGGTACTACAGTTACACATTTCACATCTAGACTCTTGTCTCTTTGCTGCGCAGTCATTCACTTCTTCCTTGATACTATATTACTTTGTTCTGCGCTATTGACAATTGGTATTTGTCAATGGCAAATTGAATCTGGCGAAAAGTTTTTATTTCTTCCCTTATCATCACATATTCTTTTGTGTCTCTAATATTTAATACTTAATACAATGTCAGAAGCATCGACAGAGATGGCTGCTAATCGTGGGCCGACAATGGCAGATGGACCTGCACAAATTCATTCGCAATTGAGATCATTGTCCACCACTGAAACAAATTTTCCTGCTGCGAATATTACACACAACGTCCAACAAGAAGAGGAAAAACGGCCTAACCTTGCACCTGCGAAAGTATGGCAAACCGAAAGACCGCGAGCAACCACGAAATCATCTCTGCTGGCACCAGCTTATAAAAGAGGAGAAACAAATACGTCATTGTTGAATGAAGCAATTTGGAGTAGAAGTCACGATTACAAAGATGATGGATCTACGAGTAGTAGCAGTAGCAGTGAGGACGAGGAAGATACCCCAGCGGAGAAGAAGAAAAGGAACTACATCCCAGGAAAGAAGAATGCGATCGATACGGGTGGGCGGAAACAATATAATAAATTCCAGGTTGGAAATGATGATTACAGTACTAGGGGAAAGGTATCGAAGAGAGATGGTCGATTAAACATCAGTGTCAATGAGACAAGCAATCGTGGATATCTCGCAAAGGCCTTGGGCGCCACTTTCTTCAATAAGGTAGGGCATGATGACATGACAGGCGAAACACCAGAAGCCAACCTTGCCCGACGTCAACGAGGGAAACTCTCAAAATCCTCAGCGGAAGAAATAGTCACTTCAAACATACCCAGACCGAGGCTGGATATTGTTGTAATGGTCATTGGTAGCCGTGGCGATATTCAACCGTTTTTAAAGTTGGGAAAGAATTTGAAGGAATATGGACATAGAGTACGAATAGCAACACATCCCGCCTTCAGAGATTTCGTTCAGAACGATTCTGGGCTGGAATTTTTCTCGGTTGGAGGAGACCCTGCAGAGCTTATGGCATTTATGGTCAAAAATCCAGGAATGATACCGACAATGGATACTCTCAAGAAAGGAGAAGTTGGAAGACGAAGGGAGCAAATGGCTGAAATGTTTGAAGGTTTCTGGCGAGCTTGCATTAATGCAACAGACGAGGAAAAGGATGTTACAAATCTCAAAATGATGGGAGATAGGGCGCCATTCGTTGCAGATGCTATTATTGCGAACCCTCCATGTTTTGCACACATTCATTGCGCAGAACGACTTGGCGTTCCTCTTCATCTCATGTTCACATTCCCATATACCCCCACGCAGGCATTTCCACATCCCTTGGCTAACATCAAGAAAACAAATGTCGATCCAGGTTATACGAATTTTATGTCCTATCCGTTGGTGGAAATGATGACTTGGCAAGGATTAGGTGATCTCGTCAATAATTTCAGAGTAAAGACTTTAGGTCTAGAACCGGTATCAACATTATGGGCTCCAGGTCAACTTTACCGTCTCAAAGTTCCATATACATACTTGTGGTCACCGGGACTCGTGCCCAAACCCAAAGATTGGGGACCAGAAATTGATATTGCTGGTTTTGTTTTCCTCGATCTAGCAGATACATTCACACCACCGGACGATCTTGTCAAGTTTCTCGATGATGGCGAACCACCAATCTATATTGGCTTTGGTTCTATTGTTGTTGATGATCCTGACAGATTTACTGAGATGATCTTTGAAGCTGTGAAGAGAGCTGGAGTAAGAGCATTGGTTTCAAAAGGATGGGGTGGCCTCGGTGGTGAAAATACACCAGAGAATGTGTTCATGCTCGAAAATACACCACATGATTGGCTTTTTCCCAAAGTCAAGGCGGTAGTGCATCATGGCGGTGCTGGAACGACTGCAATAGGCCTTAAATGCGGAAAGCCGACTATGATTGTTCCATTCTTTGGCGATCAACAGTTCTGGGGATCCATGATTGGTACTTCAGGGGCAGGAGCAGATCCTGTTCCCTACAAGGAACTGACAGCTGATAAATTAGCAGAAGGTATCAAGCAGTGTCTGACGGACGAAGCTAGAGAAGCGGTAGAGAAGATCGCGAAGGATATTGAAGTTGAAGGTGATGGTGCACAGAATGCAGTAAAGTCATTCCATCGAAGCCTTACGCTCCGAGGCGAACATTCTATGCGGTGTTCGATTCTGGAAGATCGAGTGGCAGTTTGGACCATGAAAGGGACGAATTTGCGATTGAGCGCATTGGCTGCTGAGTTGTTAGTGGAGAGGAAGAAAATCACCTGGAAACAGTTGAGACTCATTAGACATCATGAATGGAATGATTTCGAAGGACCAGGTGAACCTATCAGCGGTGTCACAACAGCTGTTACGGGTACTGTTACGGGCATTGCCGCTGGTGTAGGCAGTATACCTTTCAAGGTCAGAAAGACCATCAAGAGAAGAAGTATGCATGAAGAGAGGAAGAAGAGGAAATCGGAAGATACACGGAAAAATGGAAGTGGGTCCACTCTTGTTGAAAAGAAACCTGATTCTCAAGAGAATGTCGATACCTCGAATACTTCTACACTCAACAATCAAACGATACAAGAAGAGAGTCATCAAGATGAAAACGCTAACCCATCCAAAGAGACTGAAAATACCAATTCAGCAACAGAAACACACGATACCAGCCCTGAGGCCGCCGTGAATTCTCCATGTGATGCTGGTATGGCAAATCATACTACAAGCGGTGAACCGACTCGCCAATACAGTCAAGCTAATCGAGAAGAACAACAACAACAGCAACAAAACTCACAGCCTAAAAATAACATCGACAATCAATCAGTTATCTCCTCCGATCCCATACATAACGAAGCCGAAGCAGTGGTTAAAGATATCGGGCATGGCTTTGGTGAAACAGCGGAAGCAGTAGCTCGTGCACCCATGGATTTAGCACTTGCTCTCGCTCAAGGTTTCCACAATGCTCCTCGTTTGTATGGAGACACGACCGTAAGAAGACCAACAAGAATCACGGGTATGAAAAGTGGATTAAAGGCTGCCGGTGAAGAATTTATCTTTGGTATTTATGATGGAGTTACTGGATTAGTAGTACAACCATACACCGGAGCTCGAGATCACGGCGCATTAGGGTTTGTAAAGGGTGTAGGAATGGGTCTAACGGGTTTCGTCTTGAAGGATATTAGCGCCATCGTTGGACCTTTCGGATACACATTAAAAGGTGTTCATAAAGAAATGGTGAAGAACAAACAACCCACTGCGTTTATCCGAAGAGCGAGAATCCTTCAGGGGCAGCGAGATATAAACGTACTCGGTAGAGATTCAAAAGAGAGAAAGGAGGTTGAAGAGAGAGTTACGCATGGATGGAATGTCATACTAGAGGTATGTAAATTGATGGATGAGAAAAAACGGGACGGAGGAATGGGATTGAAGGGGAAATTGAAGGTTATGCGAGAACGTAGGACGTGGCGTTCAAATGGAGCGTTTGAGGGGGTTGGAGCTGCGGAGAGAGCGGTACAGGCGAAGAAGAAAGGAGATAAAGGGGGTGTTAAGGCGGTGTTTAAAAGACAGAGGAAGGAAGTGGAGAAAGCGGAAAGACCTAGGAAAGGAGTCGCGGCAGAATTAGAGGAAGACAAAATTAGGAGACAACAGGGAATTGAGAAAGACAATGAGGGAGAGGGAGAGGGAGAGGTTCATCCGGAAACAGGACATGATGAAAGGCAGGTTGTGATTGAAGAGGGAAATGCGAAGCCAGAGGGAAAGGATACGCCACAACTGATTGCTTGATTGGTGTTTATTGACTTGACTTTCCTGATTCTTTCTTGCATCTTCATTCACATTGTGGGGAACTTTATTGATGATAAAACACTTTTTTCTTTCACTTTTCCTTCCATTTTCAATTTTTTCATAGAGGGTGGCTTTATTTGCGATTCTTTTCCTTTGTCTTGATACCTTGGGCGTGGAGTTCAATCAGCGAGATCATGCATTTGCATCAGGAACGAGCATTGAGTGTCTCGAGTTTCTATCTGCATGATATCGCGTTAGCACATAGTCATATGATACGATGTATGTTTGGCTAGAGCATATATTGATGAATGGCTGGGCGCAGGGGCGGAGAGATAAGTAAGGGGCAGAGCAATAAATATACGAGGAAGATGAAGATTAATTTCGATCAAGCAGATTCTTAGATGAATAGTTTGATAGTTGATAGATGATAAATGATAAATGAATACTTCACTTTATGTTTTGTGTTTTGTGTTTTGTGTTTTGTGTTTTGAATTGGGGGGGTTACTCTTGTGTATAGGAGCGGTTTATCTATAGTTAAATATACGAGTAGTTTGAGTGCAATTCACCGTTGATACTGTGATATTCACAGATACTGTAAATAATAAAGTAGGTGGGGTGGGTAAAGTCAGGCAGGTGTATTATTATTATTATCTAGTCTAATATAATATAATCTAATCTGTTTGAGTGTTGAATAATTGGAATTTTGAAATAAGGGAGACAAATGAGATTTATTAAAAGTATCTAGGTGGAGAAACTGTTGGTGTAAAGAGATGTAAGAGATGTAAAGAAATGTAAGAACCCCCAAGCGATATCCAGATCTCCATCTTATTTCTTGGGACGATTATCACGACGACTACTTCCACGACCTTGGCTATGACTGTGACCATGGCCACTGCTACCTCGATGACTACTACCCTGCTGTAGGCCACTAGTTGCTGAGGCGTACTGCTCACCCTGAGGTGGGTTATTGGGCGCAGGTTGGTGTGTAGCTTGTGGTTGGGTGCTGTAGGGGATGTTGTAAGAGATGTGATGGGTGGGAGGGGGAGGATAGTCGGTAGCGGGGGCTTGGCCAGGGGGTGAAAGACCAGTACGGATACGTCCTGGAGGAGCAGCATAGCTGGTTGAAGCGGCATTGCTGGGGTAAGAGGGGACCGGAGGAGAGAGCATATAGCTAGGAGCGATGTAGCCGGTATTGTCGGAGTAGTGAGGCGCAGTTTGGGCAACATAGCTTGAAGGGGCGTAGCCAGTATTGCCAGTCTGGCCGGTAGGGTCAGCGTAGCCAGCTGACTGGTTATAGAAGGTGGAGGGATTGTTGCTTTAGAGATTGGAATAAGCGGGGTTAACTAGATACGGTTGGGTTGAAGGCTGAGACGCGCCCTGGCTCCAGACACTGGTGCTCATCGTCTGAGGAGCACAATCTTGAACTGGATTTTCTGTATTTATCGGTGGGACCCAATTAATTTGCCCACGGAAAGCGGCGTCAGAGCCATTTGCCTCTTCGATTTGAGCATCGGTCCTCTCCAGTTGACAAGTTCCTGCCTGGTAAGCTGCGAGACATTCCGGGTGATCTGTAAAATGTTCACCTTTCCACCACTCTGGAAGCATCGGTGCTTCCCTGTATTCACCACAGCTTCCACAATGTTCTCTATCTCTCATAGATGTATCTGTTGTTGGAGCAACTCTAGGCGTAAATTCTGAACACAACATGCTCATGCTGACTGAAGGCATGAATGACTGAGATCGCGAGACTACTTCTGAAGCCTCTGCATGATACCCACCATCACTACCACGGGCTTGTGTCGTAGATGGTGAGCCTTGTAGGACCTCGTCTCGCGGTGACCTACGTTGGGAACTTCCATGATTCGCACGAGCTCGTGCTGTGGAAGATGAGCTCTGTGAGGTTTGTCTTCGCGAAGTTGCACGAGAAGATCTTCCGGCACCACGGTCACGACCGTGAGATGCCTCGTCTCTTGAATGGGGACTTTTCGACATAACTTCGATTTGTAGGATACAGGAGCTTTATGTAGGAGTTTTCCCTGTAGCTTTTCGATGCAAAAAATACCTCTTTGAATTAAATGTAAGCGTAAATCTAGAAGTAGAAGCGGGAATGGATATGGTTGTAAGTCTATAGAGAGTACTTCCAATCGGGGACATGCAGCGCTTTTAAGCACATTTTGGAGCTGGAAAGATGTTGAAACTGTACTTCGAAGATGATTCGAAAGTGGTGGAGAGTGTACATTCATATGCCAACATGACTCGAAAAGAGAAGAAAAGAACATATTCATAGACAAATGTCATAAATATACATTAATCATGAGTTTTCATAATTTATGAGTCGAGAGAGAGTTGCTCATGATGGAAATACAATGAGTACAATATAATCACTATGATACAAATGAGGTGAACATGAGTATTGTTCTCGGAATGGGATTATATGTGACTGTCGAATAAGTTCAAAAGTACTATTCATTTTACTTTTATTAGCAAAGCTCTATCAGAGAGCGCAGTGACTCTCGAATATTGAGGTTAGATCGTTCCTAATCTGATTTATGGATTTATTGCAAGTAATTCGAAAATGGAAATGAAGTGATCACGCAATGATTCTTGAATGACTTTACAAGCATCACTTGACAAAGATATTTACAATACTAGAAACAATGGACACATAAGTATCATTCATAGAATTTATTTGGAAAATCATTAACGTAATATTATTATTGTTATTATTATAAAACCAGGCAAGCTTTTAACCTATCCCATCCATCCTTTATACCAAACACCCTTTCGCTATCATAAGCATTTAGCCCCTTCGGCTGCTACCATCACCGCGGCGATGATGGTGGCCGCTACCACTATTCCGGGTTTCATTCGTATATCCCCGTCCTTGAGAACCGCTACTGCTTACCGGATAGTATTGTTCGTTTTGAGGCGCACTGCCAGTCGTCGAGGAGTACTGACCACTCTGATGAATACCAATAGTTGTTGCTGGATAGTAACTTTGAGCTTGAGATGCGCTACTACTCGCTTGCGGGCATAAGGACTGTTGCGTATCGTAGGAGACAGCGACCGAAGGGGCATTATTAGCATACGCATTATAATCGCCATAATTATCAAAGACAATATTGTCACCGTTTGGATCCGATGCCGGTAACGGGGCTGGAATTCTATTCTCATCAGCCTCATAGACTTCATGTTCGTCATTTGTAACATACTTTGGAAACCGACAAGTGTGTCTTTCGTAAGCCACCTTAAAATCAATACGAGAATCTAAATGCTTTCTCTTCCAATCTCGGGTCCCGTTGGTCGGGTCATTGCATCCTGCACAATGGTAAAGATCGACTAATCCGTCTGGCGGTAGTGCTATTGGCTCGGCACCAGGCGCAAAGCCGGATGTTAGCATTCACATGCCCATTCTGGTGGATGTAACAGTGGTGTTGTGGTTTGGGTGGTCTTGAGGACGGCCGGTGGGACGATGCTCCACGGTTTTGAATCTGGAGAATGTATGAAGGGAAGAAGGGAGTGCCGAATAAGTTTAGACAGGCAGCAACGTTGCAAGGTTTGCTATGTGTGACTGAGTGTATATGCAAGATGCTCGACTTGGAAAGTTTTCAATACTAGAATGATGCGTTTGATGTTGTAAATCTTTGATGTAGAAAGGGATAGATGTAACTCAACAGAACTCATTTCCAAAAGAGACAAGCCCAGCTCTTTTATGTCCATTTGGGAATTGGAAACGGATACCAGCAATGACTCGAATATGAAAAGAGAGGACAAATTCATGTGTAGACTGTATTAGATACACAATATTCATAAGTCTTGACTTGATATGACTATAAGAAGCATTCGAAAAGAAGGAGAAAAGAAAACTCATAGGTCAGAATACATTAAATACAGATTACTCATTCCTTCCACCCTCATGAAACTCCCGAAGAAGTTAAAAAAACAGTAATAATGCAACAACTATGACACAAAAGGACCTATATGACTCTCAAACTTACAAGCCCTTCGAATTCATCACATAGTGACTCCGAACCATCAAAAACTTGGCTTGAAAATGACTACAAATGACTATAAATAGCATGTATTGCTCAAGAATCTCATCTGTTGTATCAGAACCCCCACATATGAATATTGTTTATAGCTTCCGTGTGGGAAGTGAGTGATAATATATGCTTGCAGTCATATAATCAGAAGAGTATGAGATCATGGATGTACACGCGACCTCGAGGATCATGAATACTAAAAGCACTCATTATCGAGTATTGAGAATTGAGATCATGTTTTAAGAAGATACAAATTCATCAATTAACCTCGCTGAATTTCTGCAAAATAAAGTAGAGTGTACCCCGTACCCGACAACTCTCAGGAAATCTCCATACAAGTAATGTACATTTCCCCATGACGAACTAGCAACTCAATCATGTTGAATAAAGGGGTTCATATCCACTAGAATACACTAACAGCCAGCCTTCGTACAATTAAACACTGCACAATCAGCTCACGAAATCAATGAGATTATATCCATCAACTCCAGTTACTGAATCAAATCACAGTTCTGATCAACAATAAAATATATATACTCAAAACATATTACCATATATTGCTCCCATACGCTATACATGCGCGATGTACCTTGCGCTCCTAATTGTCCATGCAAGCCCAAGAACTCGCCCACCTTAAAGACCAGATCTGGTAGGGTATGTAATACATAGTAGAAGTAAAAATGAAACGCCATTCAAAAAATGTCCTCCTCAACCGTTGCCCCTGGATTTCCACCGCCTAAAACCCAAAACTATCCAACAAGCTATTTGCCTCCGGTTCCTCAAAGACTGTTGGCGGTGGCTTGTGGGTTTGTTGTCCTTTTGGCATGTCTTTCTCATCCTCAGCCGCAGAGCCCATCCCAATTCCGCTATCCGGTAAATCTGCCACCACTAGTGAGCTTCTCCTCCTTAGCATCTTTCTCGGATTAATTTCGCCATTAAAACTCTTGAAATCTGGTTTAGTCGGAAGAAGGAACTCCCAATTTCTAACCAAATCTAATGCTAACAAATCACAACCCATCCGATCATACAACCTAGAATTATGTAATACGAAAGCCCATTCGACTTTTGGTGTTACTTTTGAGGCACCGCGTAGGGTTTGTAGGGTTTTTTGTCGAAGCTGTGAGTAAAGAACTACGAGAGCGGGGTCATCAGTTAGGAAGAGTTTAGCATTGAGATCTGGTGATTGAGGTGTTTCGAGGAGTGTGTAGACCGGAGACTAGAGGGGCGGCATTAGCATGGTGGGAAACGTTAAGAAATGAGAGGAGGGTTTCTCACAATCAAAGCTCGCACGGCCATATCACGACGATGCAACATCCAGAAAGCCCATGATGCAAGCCATCGGTTGCCTTCTTGAGCGGCTAATGGTAGAACCTTTTCTTCGAGAAGTTCTTTGAGAACAGGTCCATGCTCTCCTTCGTACACACGAGTAACTGCTATGGCCAATTGAAGATCCTTGAGTTGGCTCAGAATGACGTTGACAGCATCTTTAAGGCAATCGGCCAACAAGAAGAAAGCGGCAGCATATTCTGATTATGGTTAGAAATACCGAATAAGAACAATCAATACATTCCTCACCAAACCGACGCTTCCCAAGCAAAGCATATGCATTCTTCATTGCAGCAGTTCTCCACTTCTTTTCCGAGAAATTATTTGCTAGAAGTCTTGTGGTAGCACCTTGTTCACGGTTCCACGCAGCCATACGCCATAGACCTTGCAGTACCGCCTTTTTCTTGAGAGCAAGATAGTACAAGCTACAATCTATAGGATTTTTGAGATCACTCTTCGTATATTCATTTCGAGCGATGACTTCAAATTGAGCTTTCTGTTTTCTGTTAGCTTCCTTGAGTTTGGAGATAGAATATTTACATACCAGAGCATTTGCATCCGTCATCCACATGAAGATACCACTCTCTCGTGCATGTTCCCAAAGCATTCTCCCATGGAATTGCCGTGATACCATATCGGCCAGGATATCCTGACTGTTACTATGATATGCCCAATTGATCTCCCTCCAAGAAAGACTAAGTTCGTTCGCACGGCCACGACGTAAAACATGTTGTCTGAAGAATAACATAAATCTTGCGGCATTATCATCCATTGATCTACGTTGACGCTCAACGATAGCTACGCATTCAACGATATCAGCCAAATGAATTTGCTCCTGCCTCGAAAGTTGAGGTAGAGCAATCTGTGTCAATTTCTCGGTTATAGCAGCCGCAACACTCTCTGTGACTGTTTCCACCTCATCTTCTTCGGAGAAGCCATCGAATGTAGACTTGATTCCTTTGCTAGCTGAAGGTGCATTTTCCGAGCTGATATAGAAATCTTCTATGTTCATCCCCAGATGGGAGTCGATTGGTTCACCTTCAATATAATATTTAAGAATCTTATATAGTGCCAACAGAATATGCTGAACTAATAAATTCTTTCCGGCAAGGATGTACTGGCTCAGGAATTGTGGATGATAAACCGGGAGTGGACCGTTCAATCTCGAAACAATATTGAAGAGGTCCCAAGGAGTTTTGCGAGGCGGTAGAAAAGTTGATGCTGACGGGTCCACCTCTTTATCATAAACAAATAACTGGTTACCAGCGCCAACGATGAAGTTGCCACCTCCTAACCAAGTCGAATCACCAATTGGATGGGGTGTCAAATCTCGGATATTGACTTCTCGGATTGCTGCCCACGCTGGCCCTTTATTTAAATAATCATATCGCATTTGAGCCAATAATATAACGCGGTAACGGAAACCAACAGCAAGAATCGATTGATCGTCAGGCGTTGAAGTCCAATCCAGATCTTGAATAGTATCCTGGGATTCGTAGTCCTGAGAATACTCAAGTCGTGCACCTCTGACGTCCCAAATCGTCAATTCTGATCTACTTGAGTTTACAAGTGCAGCTTTCCTGATGGAGCTTCCACTAGCTAAACCAGGTTCACTTATACCTGTATCTACTGAACAAGTCTGTAGCCAGTCAACCGTTTCTTTTTCGATGTCGAGCCGGGCGGTCCAAGATCTTAACAGTCCAGAATGCGTGTAGGAAATTGCAATATCTCTTGCAAAAGTATCTAAGAATCCCGAGATAACTGGAGGGGATCCAGCTGGGTCTACTGGTAGAACATAGGCTAAATCGTCATCATTTCCAAGGTCAAATTGACAAAATTCGCGAATGGAAGCTTCTTGATGGTATCCATTGACCTGAGCACTTCCCCTTCTTTGGGGTAATCTGACCTCCCATACAATACCCTTCATCTTGGAAGTAATCGTAGCGACATGAGCAATAGGACCCTCCTTATTAATCTCAGGTAGCATGAGAATGCACAAAGGTTTTCCCGTGATCGAAAACTTACAATCTGCTAGTTTAACTGCTGCGGAATGCCTAGTATCCCATAGGGTAATGTGATCGTGGTGTAAATAGATCACGAAGTTTCCCTTTCTCATGACGCATATCCTATGGACGTGTTCAGATTGCGTGATAATACTTTGGCGGAATACTGAAGTTCCACCTGCATGTTCCATATGCTTCCAAACTATACTTTCGTTGCCATCTGTTCGCGAAACTACTGCTCGTCCACTGACATTACGCACAATCTTCTTGATGGCAGCTGAGTGGCCTGTCCATAGAGCTTTCGATTTAAATCGGTGTGACCTCGGTGAAGGGTCAAATAAGTTGGCTACATCGGCTTCGAAAAACTCAATTTTCCCATCAAAATGGTGGACTAGAACATTAAGATTGCCACCGGAATGGTTGCAGAAATTAAAAAGCTGAACATAGCTTGCGTCATCGCCCAGTTCCGCTGGCAAACCCAATTCCAGACCATCAACATGTGCAATGTTAAAAATGTTCGTCGGTTGTTTCGTTTTAGACCCAATATTCTCCAGTCCCCATGCAGAAAGATGTCCATGTTCATCTAGTACAACGCATATTTCCGGATTTCGATTTGCAACTTCAATTAAATGCGCCAGGGCGTGGTCCTCCTTCGAGTCGGTCGCTGCTCTCTCTTGAACTGCGTGTTCCGTGGCAACCGTAAAATCTCTCCCATCAATGATAAATGCGAATCGTAATTTCGACACCCTGTCCCCGTCTAATCCTCTTGGTTGTATAGATTCATGTAAATCAATCTGACCCCAAAGTTGTAGACTCTGCAATGAATGCACATCTGTAGGCGTCCAGATCCTTAGCAAATTATCCGCGCACACTGTATATAGCACATTGTCAATTGTTTGATCGATATGGAACGGTCTTCTCCAGTGCATATTCGTGACTGTTCGCGGATGTGGCAAGTAGGTAAAATCGAATCTTGAGTCGTCGTTCCCAAATGATAATCTCCTCCATATCTTCACAAATCTGTCGTATTTTCCACTAGAGGCAATGAATGCCGAATCGTACGAGAAATTTGCGAACTTCACCGGATTCGCAAGTTGTTGTTTCCAAACCACTACTGGCGCATCGATTGTCGAATACAAAGTAAGCCACGAGCTCCCGACCAACAACTCTTCTGATATTCCCCATGATAATGTGTTCGCTGTGTCAATCCCGCTCTCATCAATCGAAATGCTATGTTGTAAAGACCACTAAATAGATTCAGCGCCGCATCTTAAGAGGCCACTTCTGATTGTGTAATAGTCACCTTTAGCACCCCTTCATCCTGACCATATGGCTTGTAAATCCGAACATTAGATCCCGCACACGTTGCTATCTTCCCACTGCTTTCGTCCAGCGCAATAGCTTCGAGTTGAGTGTCGTCGTCATCGTATATCGTTTGTAGAATCGCGTCTGCGCCGGTAAGTATGACAAACGCATTTCCCGTAATGTAGGTCTGCGCATCACTTTAGCAAGAAATAAAATTATACAAGATGCCCGGAACATCATTGCAAACTCACTATTAGCCTCCTGTCGTTCCAATAACCAGTACAGACAGCTTGAAGCTTGGCCTGTGCCTTTCCAGGAAGCACTGCTCTCATACCTATTTATTAGAGCGCATTCCGGAGCATATTTCCAGTGAAGTGGCACGAATAATACTCTCAATATGAATAATTCTCAATGGTAAAGAGTAAAAGGAGTCGGAAAGCAATCAAGTTTGTTGGTGAAGAGGATTCCCAATTATTGTAGCTGGAATTGATGTCTCGGTCAATAGATAGTGCGGTTCCGTACAAGAAATCAGCAGGATGACGATGATCACCCTGGTTCTTACATACACTAACCGATATCCCTACATCTTGCACAACCCTGCATCTTGCACACTTTTATTTCTTTTGAAAATAATATTCTAAAAATGATATATAATCAACCAATCATTAAATTCTATTGAAAATTAAAATAATAATATTATAATATTATTTCTTATATATAAAATAATAAAATCATAATTATAATTAATAATTGAATAGGAATCTTGATATTAAAACTATTAATATGAAATTATTATATATTAATTTATTATATATTAATTTATTATATATTAATTTATTTAATAATAAAAATAATAAAAATTTGTTTTTAGAATATATTCTATAAATTTGAAGATCTTTTAATATAATGAATTAAAAAAAGCTAATTTTTATATTAACAATTCGAAATTATATTAATATATAATAAGAATTTTAATAAATAATTTGTTTTAAAACAAAAATCTTTTATAACTCAAGTATTAATAATATTCTGAATATAATTTAATTATATAATATACTATTTATATATTAATATTGAGAATTAAATAATAAAAACTATATTTTATTATATACTTATATATATAATCATTTATTTAAAAATATTAATATTTAAAAATTAAAATTATATAATTAATAATAGAGGTTTTTTATTCAAATATTTTGTAAAAGAAAATCTCGAATTAAATTTAAGTTTAAAATTAATAACTAGTATTAAATATTATAAAATGAATTTGAAATTAAATATAAACTATAAAATTTTTAGAAATATATAAAATTTAAAGACTTTTTTTAGAAATAAAATTCTTTTAAAAAAGAAACTATAATATTTTTGATTGAAAAAAAAATATATAATAGATTTTTCGATTGAAATATAAGAATCAATTATTTTAATTATTATTTTTTCTTATTTATATTACTCTATAATATAATTAATTATAATTTCTAAATAATATTTTATTTTAATATTATTTATTATTATTATATTATATATTCTCTAATATATAAAAATATATTTTTATAAATTGAATCAAAATATCAATTTATTTTTTTTTAAAATCTCAAAATAAATATTCCATAATATTTTAAAAAGTATTTTTAAATTATTTTTCTTTTTTTTTAAAACTATATAAAAATTTAAAACTTGATATAAAACTTGATTATTAATATTTTTCGAAACTTCAAACTTTTGATTAATAATAATGATAATAAAAAATATAAAAAATTATTTTTCAATTATATAATTCACTCTAATATAGGTTTTTATTTTGTTATTAATATTTTAAAATATTGTTATTCAAAATCAATTAATATTTAATTGAATATTTCAAATCTTTTAAGTTCCTGATATTATTTTTTGATAAATATAAGATCCTATTATACAAGTTTTAAAATCATTATAATGATATTTGAATTTAATATCGATTTTTAGTTTAATAAATCAAATTGTGCAAGATACAGGGTTGTGCAAGATGTAGGGATATCGGTTAACGTTACGCGACTGGGGAAAAAGGAGGTCGAACATCGTACACCTCACAAAATCTAAGATTATCCTATCATCGTGTTCTTTCTAAATGGTTTGAAATCTGAAAGTATATAAAACCGTAAAGTACATGGTTATAAGCAACCAGTAAATAATTTGATTTATATTATCACTGAATAGTTATGTAAAAAGGTCCGACTGACAAAATCACAGAGATCCCTCGACCTTGAGATTGGATTCGAGTACCTAACTATTACTCTTAAACAATGCTGTTGGGCTCTGGATGGCAAGTATGGCTTTGTGCATATATAATGTAAGAACAATAGCTTTGGTGAAAGAAATCCCTCTTCATACTTACAACAATGATCTTTTCGTGGTGATCAACGCATACCTAGTACTGGTGTACAAGTTCTGAGAAGGTTCCTCGCTTGGATATCATCCGATGAAGGGGCAAATCTTCGAGTTCCTATTAAAATCTAAAATGAATCTCTTTTCGGTCAGCCTGTGTGTCGAAAACTGGGATATATTCGCCTGATGTACCGGAATAGGTTCGTTGACTTTACCACTATTCGAAAATTTACAGGAATGCGATCGCACATGTAGTTTTAAAGCCCTAGCTGGCGCCGTTTTGGCAACGTGTCTTCAGGTACTAGGGGGAATAGAATAACAATACAGTGAAACGATATTTACAAACTATCGCCTACAATACTCTCCAAAGACGAGAAATCGCGTTGGGTGTGTATATGTATACCACAACCATACGAAAGTTTGCACCATTACCAGCAGGTCTATTCAAATTTGATAATACTTGTAACATAGTTTATCAGTGGGTTGGTTATATCAATGGATCAGCCACTTTTATCTCGAATTATTATTCTATATTCAATATATGTTTTCTTTATAATTAATTATAAAAATTTATTTTAAAAAAAAATATATAATCTTAGTTATTTAAGCTATTAAATCAAATAAAAAATTATCAATTTGAAAAATAGTTTAGTTTTATTATATATTTCGAATTATATTGAATAATAGAATTCGAGGTAAATCTAATATAATTAAAAGTTAATTAAAAAATTATAATTTGATTGAATTAGAGAAGAAATTATTTATTTAATATATTTTTGATATGGATTTGAAAGATTTTTTATTTAAATTTATAAATATAAAAGATATAATAAATTATATTCTTAAATCGAAAAATATAAAATATATTAAGAAATATTAGATATATATTGATTTGTAAAATATTGAATTGAATTAAAGATATATTTTAGATATATTTATAATTTTCAAAGAGCTTTTTATAAGAATTCTAAATTTATTGAAAAATAGTTTTGATTAATTGAATATATAAGTGAAATATAATATCTTAAATAAAGATTTCTATAATTTCGATAAAATAGATTTTATAATGGGAATTATATATATAATAATAGTTATTATTAATATTAAGAGATATAATAGAAATAAATCTATATAATTAGATAATCGAGAATAAGTTATAATAATAATATATGGAAATAGAAAGAACAAAATTATTCTTTTATTTCTAATAATCTAGAAATAGATTTATTTTTTTAATTAATATATCAAAATCAATCTTTTTATAAAATAAATTATTAAATTTATATTTAATAAATGAATAAATAATAAAACAGATTTCAAATAATTGAAATATTTTAATAAACATATTAAAAATCGAAAAAAGAGTAAATATCGAATATTGAAATTAAATAAATATAAAAATTATAAATCAATAGCTTTTTAAATATATTATAAAAAGAATAATATTATATATTTATATTTACTCTCATATTCAAATTATTTAATTCAATTATTTAATATTAATTGTTTTAATAATCTAAAATATTTATATAATAATCAAATTAATGGATTTATTAAAATATATATTAATTACATTTCAAAAATTAAATTCTTTATAGCTTTTAAAGTTATATATAAGAAATCAATTATCTTTTAGAATATAAAATCAAGATTTCAAAAAATAAGTTTAATTCTATTTAATCTTGAAACTATATTCTCGAAATTCAATATTCAAATTTATATATCTATCTTTCCCTTTTCAATTTAAATTAATAAATCTCTTAAACTTTTTATAATCCAATAGAAATTCTTTTTCAATCAATATTAATTAAATTTTGAATAACTTGTTATCAATTAAACTCTTTTATACCTATATTTGAGATTATATTAGTTTTAATTAAAAATATAGAAAAATTAATTTATAAAAATATATTTTTAAATACAAAGAATTATATATTTCAAATAATAAATAAAATATTAAATAAATATTAATATATAAAAAAAACCTAATTATATTAAAAAGAAATATTTATTAAACAAAAGACTTTTGATATATTATTTCAATAAAAAATTGATATTCAAATTTAATATAATAAATATCCAAAAAAGGGAAATTCTAATAGAAAAATATTTTTTAATTAATATTATAATAAATATGAAAAAACAGATTATAATATAAGAATTTATTAAAATAATATAATAGATTCTAGATTATTAAACTTTTAATAGTTTTAATTAATTGATTTAATTATTGTTGAATAATATAGCTTTGAAGTGATAATTCGAGATAAAAGTAGCCGATCCACTGATATAGCCGATCCACTAATAAACTACGTTAATCTTACTACATCACGTTATAAATTTCCCTATTTTCACTTTGACATTAGGAAGAATGTTTTCTTTAATACTTTAATACTTTATTATTGATATTTAATCTATTCCAATTGTCCCATTCCGTTCCAATCATTCATAAGGGGGTATCTATACTTCATTAACCAAAAACGCCGTCTTAAAAAATTCCACCTTTTGTCATCCCAGCATAATCATTCCCTGATGCTCCTGAACTCGCTGAACCTACTCTTGATTGGAGCAGTTCTCGGGGTTTGCAATGCCCCTCTGGCACTTGTAGATTGATAACGTACAGATGCAGCAACTCTTCTTCGAGAGGGTGTAGCCATGTATCCAGGGGTTATTGGATTCAAGACAGCCGGTCTCTTCTCAATAGCCGGTCGCTTTTCGTAAAGTCTTCGCGAGATTTCATCCATCTCAACTTCATCTCCAAAATCTGACCAATTCTCTGCTGTCTCAGTTCCAGGAGGTGTGCCATCCTCCACGATTGGTCGCTGATTCGCAGTTCGCTTTTGCCAGTGATGAAGCATCTTTCTCTGTCCCCTCCTTGTGCTCCTATCGTGAACTTCCTTTGCAGTATTCGCCCTGGCTTTTGCTTGTATCGCCTTCAACCTCCATTTTCGAAGCGCCTCGGATTGGTTGTGCTCCTGGTGGTCAAGTGTTGCCTCGATGTTCAACACTTGTAATGACTCGGTGCGATTCTTCCATCTATTGAAGAACTTCCTCATGACCATCTCTTTCCAAAGGGGTTCATATTCGGCTACTTCATCCGTTCGAGCTCTCCATTGGTCAAACTTGTCCATACCTATGATGTATGTTTTACCTTGGGCGAACTGACCGGCCTGCTCATTCAATGCCATTTTCTCTTGTGCCTTGGCGCGCCAAGATGAAAACCATCTTCTTGCAATAGCGTATTTTCTGTTTCTTCGAACTTTAATATATGCTTGTTTACGCTTTTCTCGTTTCGCCTTAAATGTTGCGTCTCGCCATGCATACAAAGCCGTCCTCATTAGGAAGAATTTTCTGCATCCGCGAGCGGTTTTATTATCTATGGCGATTTTCTTGACCTTCTCGCGCATGGAATCGAAACATTCACCTAGAATTCGAGGAGCTTGAAGTTCCGTCGCTTGGGCCTCAAAATCTGCCTTTTCATCCATTCTTGCATACCAGCATTTGAGAACAGACGTTGCTAGGTTTGTGTTGTCGTATCGTCGAGCCGTCTCTTCGCGTTCCCAGCGTCTGCTTCGTGTATCTTGAGCCCTATCGAACCAAACTTCCAAGCATGCAAATTTGATATCTTCCTCCCTCTGTGCCTTGGCACCTTTTAACTTTGTCTGCAATTCCCAGATCTTGAAGGCTTTGGCTACAGCACGGCCTTCTGAGATGGCCTGTGATATCTTCGCCCTGGTCTGATGTCGCCATTTGGTAAATGCTTCACGGAGGATCTTGGCACGATCCATCTCTGTAGCTTGCTTCTCTTTCTCGGCACGTTTTTTCCAACTATGCAAAGCGCCTTTGAGTACACCTGCATTGTGGCCACCCTGTACCTTTCTTCTAGCAGGGGCTGTCTGAGCTTCGCGGTGCCATTTCTGCATAGAATCGGCTTTTTTCTTCGTTTCGGCTATAATCTCGGCTTCCTGGTTGAGTGCAACTTGTTTTACCGTCTTTTGTTTCCAAGTTTTCATGGTTTTCTCCACCGCCTTCAGTAGGTTCTCGTCATCTGCTAGCTGAGTGGCTTCGGCCACAGCTTGTGCCTTTTCTACCCATGTCGACAAAGCCCGTTGCTTATTCCTTTGCTCGACTTCTTTGGAAAAATCTGTGACCTTTTTCTTCTCGGCCATCTTTGAAAAGACTCGTTCAAGCATATTGCACTTGTCAACTTCAGCAGCTTCCAGTTCATCCACTTCGATTTTTTCCTTCTTTGCTTTCCATTTGCCGAGGAATTTTTTCAGTTGGACTTGTCGAGCTTTTTCCTCGCCCAGCTGGATTTTCTCCTCGTTCTCCTTCGTGTGAGACTTCCAGGCCTTGAAAGTGCGTGACCTCATCATCTGTCTTTCTGCCGCTTTTGTGGCTTCGACTTTGTCTCGAGCTATCGCCAACCAATGGGTGAAAGCCTTCTCCTTGAGAAAATCATTTCTGCACGACACGGCTCTTAATCCGATCCTTGCAAATTTCTTTCCCTTCGCCCGGAACTTCTGCTCAAATTCTAATTCGGCTCTCTCAGCTTCCAGTTCGGCCAGGCGCGCTTTTTCGGCATCTTTCTGCGCCTTATAAAGCTTTGCTTGTTGAGCTTCATGTATTCTTTGTTCATAGAGTCTCTGCTCAGCCTCCAATTGAGCCTGATAAGCAAGTTCCTGCTTCTCTTGTTCATCGAGGCGTTGTTGTTGCGCCTGGGCTTCTAGGAGTAGCTTTTGCGCCTTTTTGGCCCGGATTTTTTCCACCCAACCAGACAGTGCTTGCTCCTTCAGAGCGTTGTTATTATTTTTCATTACAACAGTTTTCGGTTCAGCCTTTTTGACTTCCAATTGAACTTGATGGGCAAGTTGTTGCTTTTCTTGCTCTTCTTGAAGGCGTTGTTCTTCCCGAAGGTGTTGCTCCTCTTGAAGATGTTGCTCTTCCTGTCGACGCTGTTGTTTTTGCGCCTGGGCTTCCAGCAGCAATCGTTGGATTTTTTTGGCGCGAGCTCTTTCGAGCCAGCCAGACAAGGCCTGTTCTTTCAAGGCGCCAGTGTCGTGCTTCATAGCTACAGCGTTCAGCTTCGCTTTCCGTTCTAGACGTTCCCTTGCTTGATCTCGCCATGAAAGTAGCTTTCTGATCACCAAATCATCAAAGTAATGTTCCTTGATAATTTTCGCTTTTTTATTTTGTTTGATTACGTGTCGAACCCAAGGGTTATTTAAATCAAATACTTCGCTCGCGTCATAGAACTCCTCGTCGTCCTCTTCCTCTTCCAATTCCTCAAACGAGTCATGAAATTGCTCTTCGCCATCTTCGTCGTCAAATTCGAGCTGTCCAGCCTTTCGCTCCTCGACTTCTTGTTCTTCGGCTTTTTGCGCTTCGTCTTCTTCAGCTTGCGAAGGGGTGGTCAACTCGTCGCTGACGTCTTGATATTCGTATGTGGTGTTGTTTATGGGAATGCGACCAGATGGACGACCCCTTGGAGCACCTCTCTCTGGGTGTCGATTGATTGAGCGAATGCTGCCATGTGCAGAAATCGATCTGCTCTGACTGCGAGGCGACCCGTCCTCACTGGCTTCAAGCCAATTTCTAACGTTGTTTAATCCACGTTCTTCGCGCCCTTTTTGGGTAGTTCTAGGTGGTTGTGGTGTAGGTTCTGGGATAGATTCCGGTGATGGTGCGCGAGTAGCTTCCGAAATGAAGCTCTTCAGTTCATTTAGTTTTGCGGGTGTGGCAAGCCCAAGAGGTAGAGGAGAGACTGATTTATTCCTTTTGTGTTTTGGCTCTTGCGGTGGAGCTTGTGCCTGTGCTGCAATCCCCAGATCCAGGACGCCTGTCTCAGAATTGCGTCGTGGTAATGGTGATTCATTCTCATCGTTGTAGAGAGTGTCGCTCTCTTTATTATCTGCGACATCTTGAGAAGTAGCTTTGTTACTTCGTAGATAGTCATGTGTATTGTAATCGAATTCGAGAGTAATGCCTCTTTTGGCCAAGCATTCTTCGAACTTGTCGAAGAGTGTGCCGGTGGGTTCTCCAGTGACGCCGATTTTGAATATAAACCTGAAGTATCGACTGTCATGGTCGGGATGAATTCCAAGATCAGGGAGGAATTCATAGTATGCTTTGGCGAGTGCTAATGTGGGGAGTCTATCCTTTGGAGGTAGAGTGGGTAAGAGATGTTGTGCGCGAACGACGATATCATGTAAAATAATCAAATCTATGAAACATGTTAGCATTAACCATTGCGCATGTTCAATTGAATTGAAACACACCATCATCAGTATAATAGGGTTCATCAGTGGTGGTTGTCCAACTGTATGATTGACCGCCGTCATAGAGGGACGGAAGTGACAAAGGAGACATGGGACCTTATCAAAAGGGCATATACGTGGGAAAGTAGGATTGTTATAATTTGTACATACAGTATCGCGTCTTGGCGATAAAACAGCAGTCAAAAGCGAAAAAAGGGAAAAGAAAGGTACAGCAAGGGTATACAGCAATTAAACTGGGAATGAGAATGAGAATTGGAATTGCAAAATTTCTTTGAAGCTTTTGATATCTGAATTTGTGAATGTACGACGCGGGCTGAAGAGAGGAACATGATTTCGCGACTTTGGGTAATGGGAAATATGAAATGGAATTGTCGGACGCGACGAGAATAAAGTTTACCGGTCGAATTTTGGTGCTGAAGCTTTCTGGCGCTAATCGAAGCTAAGTGTCCCTGTATTTAAAGCTAAATCTAGCGAGCTTCGAAAAGCGTGATTTTGATTGGATCGATAACATGTCTTATCGCAATGACTAATCATCGGAATTATGAGAATCGAACACCGTCCTTTTTTTCGTAGCATCATATACTACCAGTAATGAATTATCATACCCACCTAGTATCTGAACTCTATCAATACAAATCATAATTTTTAGTCTTCACTACAACATCACTCATCTCATATCAATCGCCAATTGAAGCGCCATATCAGGTGTACCTTTCCCAAATACCAGTAAAAGTTCACGTGCTTGTTATTGTTAGTCTTCACTAATAGGTTCTTAGGTACTGGTTGATACCTCACTACTTTCTTGCCTCACTCACCAGTTACTCAACCACTATCATTGTCACCAAATACTGAATAATTCTATATCCTCACAAATCATGCCTCCACGAACAACTCAAATAAGACCAATTGAGAAATTTGCACAAGCAGTTGCTAAATGCTCTACAGAGGTACGTTTTTGATTTGATTCTTCTATCTACTTTGATCCCGCTTCACATCATTTGCCTTCAACATGCATCCCGCTTCAAACCCTACCCCTCTATACAAACACCTGGGCATACATTATTCGCCTCCACAACCTCCCCATTACTGCCTCTCATATCACCGCCTCGTCAAAAACTAACAGCCCCAATCATAGGCATCCCTATACGGCAAATGCATAGTAGCCGATTACAATTCCGTCCACAAAGACAAATGTCTTACTGAATTCATGAAATTGAAAGATTGCTATTTGGTAAGTGTATTCAACTCATATCTTCACTAGTACTGCTCATGACTTATAATTATTTAGATTGCCGCGAAGAGAAAGTAGAGGAGATTTGTTGGTTTATTTCTAAAAGAGGAAATTTATCTCATTCAAGAGCCGTATACTATCTGACGTCTTGTTCAACTAAAATGTGTACTTGTTTGCATCGCTGTATGTGAAGTTTTATCTCGTAGTTTTGAATGTATTCAAAGCAAAGTTTGGCATGTACACAGCAGATTGTCACATTGCTGTCACCTTTGAGTGTCTCAAGCAACTGAGTTTATCCTAAAAACATTCTTAAGTTCTCAGTAATTTTCACGTTTTCATAAACACAGTCTTTCGCCTAATTTCACGAATTTATAAAATGAACAGATCCTATGCAATGACTCTCGCGCTTTCATGAAAGAGTGTATCTGTAAGTCAGAAAGATATCTAGAATTTCTGTTTATACCCGATTTTTTTTTATGAAACATCAAATCATAACTTCAACAGTCTGAGCGAAAATGTAGCTTTTTGGATCTCCTGATCCTCTTCCAGAATGACGCTCTCTCCTGCTGCACTTCCTTCTGCTTCGTTCAAAGGTCTTCGCAATGCTTTCTCAATGGCCTGTGCTTGACTAGCAAAAGCTTCACGTAGACCAATGCTCGAAGGATCTTCTAACACCTTGTACTCCATCTTAATATCATCAGTTGGTTGAAGACCAGCCTTCTTACGTAATCTTTGCACACGATTGATGATCTCGCGGCCCAATGCTTCATCTGCAAGATCTGCATGGAGTTCAACATCCAAGATAGTAAGAACATCCTCATCTGTGTTGGTCTCGAGGTTTTTGGACGATTCATCATCCTTAAGACCTCGCTTGACAACCAAGTCACCCTCTTCGAGCTTGATACCATCGACAACAATTGATTTCTCCAACACGTAGTTGTGAACTTGCTCACTAGTCAATCCTGGCAAAGCCTTCTTGACCTTTTGAACTTCCTTCTTCAACTTCTTTCCAAGAACTGGCCAATCAGCATTAACACTGTATTGGACGTTGTACTTCGCTTCGTCCGAGGTGAGGATAAGTTCTCTGATATTGAGCTCCTCAGTAATGTAGCCTTCTAAAGAACGGACATCTTCAAGATAAACTGGGTCGTGATGGATGACAATCAAAGTTTTCAGAGGGGTCTTAAGACCAATTGTGCGGCGTTCTCTGGAAACTCTGCCCAACTCAATAACACGTTGCATGCGACCTACACGGCGCTCAACATCTACATCAAAGAGTTCCTCTCTCACATCTGGGAAAGCCAAGAAGTGTACACTTCGTGGATCCTCAGCTTGCAACTCCTTGGGAATGTGAGGTAACAGACGTTGATAAATGTTGTCTGTGAGGAATGGTGTGAATGGAGCAAGTCCTCTCGTTAGGGTAAAAAGGACTTCAAAGAGGGTGTTAAGTGCGTGCTTAGTGTCTTTAAGACCAGATTCACCCTTTAGACGTCTACGATTGAAACGAATGTACCAATTTGTGGTATTATCAATGAGATCCAGTAATCTGGGAACGACAGTGTAGAGACGGTAACCTGAATTCATTAGTTATCACTCATAGAATAAACCATAGAGGGTTGACTCACCTGCCATCTCCTGATTTACAAACTTCAGGAGACTCTGGCAACTAGCAAGAATCCATCGATCCATAACATTGGTGTTAGTAGCTTCGGCAGTAGGATCGAATACATAGTCAACGTTCTCCATCTTCTTAAGCAATGCTACCTGTCCTTCGAAAAACTTGTAACTGTTCCACAAAGGCAAAAGAACCTTGCTCACAACTTCCTTAACTCCAGCTTCCTTGAAGCGCAATGGCTCAGCTCTTACGACTGGAGAATTGATGAGATACAAACGCAAAGCATCAGAGCCATATTTGTCCATGACAATGCCAGGATCAGGATAGTTCTTCAAGCGCTTTGACATCTTCTTGCCGTCTTCTGCAAGCACGATTCCATTGACAACACAGTTCTTAAAAGGTGAAACGCCGAACAAATGTGTACCCAAGACAAGAAGGGTGTAGAACCATCCTCTAGTTTGATCAAGACCTTCCGCAATGAAATCACCAGGGAAAGATTGCTCAAATTTATCCTTGTTCTCGAATGGATAATGTTGACTGGCATATGGCATGCTGCCAGACTCAAACCAACAATCAAAGACCTCCTCAATACGTTTAAGTTGGCCTTTACCCATCTTACTTGGAATGGTGATGTGATCAATTTTATCTCTGTGGAGGTCGGTAATTTCACCCTCATAACCACTGAGCTCCTTCAACTCGGCGATACTGCTGATGCATACCTTCTCTTCATAGTCGTCACTGACCCAGATTGGGATTGGAGTTCCCCAATATCTATTTCTCGAAACATTCCAGTCACGGGCATTTTCAATCCAACTAGCGAAACGTTTTTCCTTGACAAAGGATGGAGTCCAGTGCGAGCCTTCAATATTCTTCAACATATCAGGAACAATTTCGGGAATTCTGATGAACCAAGAAGGAACAACTCGGTAGATCAATGGGGTGTCTGACCGCGGACACATAGGATAACTATGCTTAATAGAGGATTCGACAACTAGACGCCCAGTTCCCTTCAGATATTTAATGATGGCTTTGTCGGCTGCTTTAACATGAAGACCAGCAAAATCCCGAACTTGCTCAGTGAAGTGACCGGTCTCATTGATTGGACATGGAGCTGGTCGCTGCTCATTGATGATGCCGGCTTCCATTGCGACATTGTAATCTTCCTCTCCGAAAGCTGGTGCTTGATGAACAATACCAACACCACTGTCGTCGGTGACGTATGCAGCATTCAGGACCCTGAAGCCATGCTCCTTGAATTCTTCATAGAAATAGTCGAAAAGCGGCTCGTATTGCCAACCAAGCATATCTTTACCCTTGATCTTTTCCACGATCTTAAACTTGGCTTTCTTAGGGTCCTTGTATAGTGTACCGAGTAGTTTCTCCAACAAGATATAGTTCTTTCCCGAGGCTTCGTCGTGAATTTTGACGTACTCGAAATCTGGATGCGCGGCTAAACCAGTGTGCGACGGGAGGGTCCAAGGAGTGGTTGTCCATGCTAAAAGACATGTTGAGGGGTCCTTCAATAATGGGAAAGATACGACAACTGCAGGATCGGTGACATCCTGGTAGTTTTGATTTGCTTCGAAATTACTCAAAGCTGTGGTGAGAACTGTCGAGTATGGCATGACTCGGTAGCCTTGGTAGACAGATCCCTTCTTGAAGATTTCGCTAAATACCCACCACTCTGATTCCATGAATTTGGGGTCCATTGTCTAAGAATGTCAGCTTGAAGATGCCAATCCACTTCTATAAAGACCTACCTTGTAGTCGTTATCAAAATCGATCCAACGGCCCAATCGGTCGATTGTCGTGCGCCATTCTGACGAATATCGCATAACAATAGCTCTACACTCTTCATTGTATTTTGCCAGTCCCATCTTCATGACAGCATCCTTTCCAGAAATACCAAACTTTTTGTCAATCTCGTGCTCAATCGGCAAGCCGTGTGTGTCCCATCCGAAACGTCTCTCGACATGATAGCCCTTCATTGACCAATATCGAGGGATGATATCTTTGATGGTAGATGCGAGTAAGTGACCATAATGAGGTAAACCAGTGGCGAAAGGAGGTCCATCATAAAAGGTATATCGAGGCTTTCCCTCAGAAAGTCTATAATCAAAATAAACAATGTCAGAACATATTGATTTTGCTTACATTCGTCGCAGGTTGACTTACTCGAGTTGTCGCTCGAAAGCGTTGATCTCCTTCCACTTTCTGAGAATTTCTTCTTCTTCTTTTGGAAAATCCATATTTGCTTGTGTTTGAGTTATGGAAAGTCTCAAGAAGTGTTGGAAGGAGTTTCTTGTGTATATAAATTTGGCGGGGTCGAAACGAGGGGCGGGCACCGAATTTCGTATGAGTCAAAATTGATTGTCCCTTAGCCAATCAAATCTGGTGGAATCGAGGCTGTCAGTCAGCCTTGCGTAGCACCAAGCGCTAAACCTTTTAATGTCCACATGTATTACCATCCTATTAATGGCCGTAACTATTGATTCGAACCTCCCGAAAATGGACGGCAAGTAATCACATCAGACAGCTCGGTTTTTTGCATGATCTTCATGTATTCAATCAAGATCTGCTCATTCATCATGTTAGTAATCATGATACATGGAGTTCGAATTCTGCCTGTGGTAGTTCTCAGGTTACGAATCCAACCAGTATGACTGATTTGAAAGACATAGTATCCTGAGATGGTCTACCCAGGCGTTCCTTCCCCCCCCCAGGGGTATTCGGTATCTTGTCTTGTTCTGTTACGGGTTTCCATACCCTTACTTCCGGATAGGTATTCTCTGATCACCTTTCATTCTTCCAAGCTTCAGCTACACATAAACACACGCCAAGTATCAATTTGGGATATTGTTGATTACAAACCGTACTAAGCGGCATGGTCTGGAATAGTGAGTCTAAGTATATATAAGGGTGTGAAACCTCAAATGTTTCAATGTTCTGAATTATTTTGAATATTTGCACTGATACAATGGCGGTTCTCCTGTCATTGTTTAAGTCATTTTGCTTCCAGGCACTCCTCTCCACTGCTACCACTTCCCGGGCCGTTCAAAGCTATGATTACATGTGAGTTACAGGAAGTCTTCCATGTCATCATGTAAATTGACCCATTCTAGCATAATTGGTGGCGGTACAGCCGGCCTAACAATAGCGAGCCGTCTGAGTGAAGATCCTCAAAATTCTGTGCTTGTTCTAGAAGCTGGGACTGATCACTCAACTGGTATTAATGTACTCGCACCCGGTCTATATACCGGCATGTATGGCAATCCTGAGTATGACTGGAACTACAAAACTGTCCCTCAGGTAGGTTCGATATTATTTTCCCTCACGAGGAGTAAATCTTGACAACTTCCAAAGATACACACAAACAATCAAGTTATAGCCCACCCAAGAGGCAAACAACTTGGAGGTTCGAGTGCTATAAACTTCCTATATTGGACGCATGCCTCTCAACAAGACATCAATAGCTGGGGCGAGCTTGGAAACGCGAACTGGTCATGGGAAGCCTTAGATCCATTCTTCAAGCGCTCCGAGCAATTCGTTTCACCTTCAAGTGTTGTTGAGCAAGATTTACAGACTGGAAATATCGTTACAACTTTACATGGTGACAATGGGCCAATTGTAAACACATTTCCGGATATCTACGGCCCAATAGACGAAGCGTGGCCTAGAACTTTTCAAGCTCTTGGGTTAGAAGTAAAAAGTGATCCGAGAGATGGTTTAGCTTTAGGAGGATACACTAATCTCTTGAACTTAGATCTGGATGGTAGAAAGAGAAGTTATGCAGCAACTGCATATTATCTCACTGCTTCAAAACGACCGAACTTAAAAGTCATCACTGGAGCACTCGTGGAGATGATAATCCTCGAAAAGGGTAATGATATAGTTACAGCTAATGGAGTGCAATATTCAAATGGAACTGCTGCTCACGCAAAGAAAGAAGTAATCTTATGCGCGGGCTCAATTGGAAGTCCCCAAGTCCTTGACTTATCAGGTATCGGAGATCCCAATATTCTCAAGAAGCAAGGAATCGAAGTTCTTGTGAACAACAGAAATGTGGGCGAGAACTTACAAGATCATGTTTACATCCCCATCGGGTAAGGCATCTAAATATGTCGCTTTTAAACACTATATCTAACAAAGCCTCTCAGCTTCAAAGTCAATACTGGTATAACAACCTTGGACAATTTCACCGATCCTGCATTCTTCGATGCTGCATATGAAGAATATGTTGCCAATGCTACTGGTCCTCTTGCTACCACCGGAGCAAGTTCAGGACTTTTATCTTGTCCACAAATTGGCTGCGAGAACCTGAGACCACCTGCAAACTTTTCAAATGCCCTCACTCCTGGTTTAAAGGAGCAGTATGAATTGCAGGCGAAATATTTTGCTAGTGAGGCAGTTACACAAGAGTGAGTGAGCTTTCGATAGGAACTGCTTTTTTTTTAAGTAGTAGATAATAATTTATTTGTCTCTCTGGAAACCCTGGATATTTATACTGCAAACATAGGCCGTCGGGCCCCCTCATTCCTTCAACTAACGGTTTGTCATAGGCTCACTGTCAGCGGTGGAATGTCCCCTCTCAAGTCCAACGACTCGTCCCAGCTTTTCCTCGCCTCTTCACCTGGCAACTTCCTCAATCTCCTAGGCGTTCTCGAACACCCATTTTCCCGTGGATCCACCCACATAGCCTCCTTTTCTCCATCTGTCTACCCAATACTTGACCCCAATTATTTTTCTCATCCCTTCGATCTAAATTTACTCACCGTCATCGCATATCACCTCCAATCCCTCGCCTCAGTCTCTCCACTCTCCACCTACCTTCAGGGAAATGGCACTATCTACCAGCCTGGTTATTACCCTCTCAATGAAACTAACATTGAATCGTTCATCAAAGCAAACCTGCAGTCTGAATACCACCCCATTGGTACTTGTTCAATGCTCCCTTTGGGTAAGAGCGGTGTAGTTGATGAGAAATTCAGAGTATATGGTGTCGAGGGACTAAGAGTGATTGATGCTAGTGTTTTCCCACTGTTGGTAAGAGGGAACCTACAGAGTTTAGTATATGCGGTTGCAGAGAGGGGAGCAGAGCTTATTATAGAGGATTAAACATGATCATGGTGATGGTGATGTGATAAGAGACAAGTAGCCAGGACCAAAACTTGTAATTGTTGGAACTGTACATGTAGATTAATCCAAGTAATAGCATTGCATAACGAATCAGCACTTTCTCCAAAAATGATTTCTACACCGAGCTCCTAAGAAGTCGTTAACAATGCGACTAAAAATAAGTATCGGGTCTATACTTTTCCTCAAAGAGTATGCAAAACACCAACTTGACAGGAATGGCAACCTGATAAATAGTTTAAACGAAATCTTTCTAAATTTGAAATTCCTTCTGTTGTATTCTGATTTTAAGATTTTAAGATATTTTCCAATTATCATTTTTGAAGTACAAATAATTATCAAGTTGATGTCTTACATAAGATTTGAACAATCTTACAGACCCGAGGAAACTTGTTTCCTTCAGTCACATTGTTAGTATCACCATACATACATGATTCAAACTTTGAGATACAATGAACCATAGCACCATTGACTACATCATCAACTCCCATGGCTTTAGTCTCACCATACTCTCATTATGCTTGTTTAGTGACTCCAAGATGGCTTCTCGGGCGATGAGTTCGAAACATCGGTCATCTTCCATGTAAGTATTTCCAAGCCAGCAACCATCATTCATGGTCAACAGTCCCAGCATGGATGCGAAACTCCACTCTCGATCTCTCGCTCCGCTCAAGCTTGATCTGTACGTACAGTGCTGCTTGCTTCTGCTATCAAACTTTCGTTGTATCAATGCATTTCACTCCGACGAATTGCCGCAGACTTTAAAAGATCATGAATTTTCAGCTTCGTAATCACTTAACCACAAACTATCGTCATCAAAGTCCATAATACACCAAAACAAATAAGCTGCGCTTGCACCGCTTCGCGATCCTTAGTGGTGATATGCGTAACCGATATATGATGTATGAATAGTGTATACACCATGTAAACGTTTTTACATAGTGTACCGCTTGATCCCATGTTAACTTCATATAAAAAATTTTACATCGTGTATAACGTGTTTTATCACCGAGTGAATCATATCACCAAATGGATCACTCAATTTACATACAAAATTCGTCTGTGCATAACCGTACACTTTATTTATTTATTAATAGAATTTTTTAAAAATTTAATATATAAAATCTGATTAAAAGCTTATTATGAAAATCTAATTTTTTTTTCGAATATTTAAGTCAATATAAGAATTAATATAGAAATGGTTTTTTTTGTAACAAAAATCGTAATATTTTCGAATTTTTATTGAATTTAATAAAAAAATTTATATAAAAACTAAATTTCTAAAAAGCTGAATTATTATTATTATTTTAAATCTTTCAATTTTTAGAAATAATGATTGATTATTAAAATAAGAATATTTAAAAATAGTTAATTTTAGTGTATTTTCAAATGATTCATTCGGTGATATGATTCACTCGGTGATAAAACACGTTACACAATATATAAAAAATTTATCCGAAAATATAATGGACCAATAGAATCGATGTCTAAAATTAGAATTAGTTCCAATTCAAATTAAAAAATACTCGTCTGAACCTAATATTAGAGATATATATATATAACGTAGTTTAACACCGAGTGGCCTATATCACCAAGTAGCACACTTTCACCTCAATTCATACTTTCAAACTCATATTATTCAATAACAATTGAATCAATTAATTAAAATTATTAAGAATCTAATAATCTAGAATCTATTATATTATTTTAATAGATTCTTATATTATATCCTGTTTTTCCATATTTATTATAATATTGATTAGAAAATGTTTCTTTATTAGAATTCCTTTTTTTTTAAATATTTATTATATTGAATCTAAATATCAATCTTTTGTTAAAATAATATATTAAGAATTTCTTATTCAATAAATATTCTTTTTTAATATAATTGAGTTTTTTTTGTATATTAATATTTACTTAATATTTTATTTATTATTCGAAATATACAAATCTTTATATTTAAAAATATATTTTTATAAACTAATCTCTTTATGTTTTTAATTAGAATTAATATAATCTCAAATATAGATATAAAAAAGCTTAATTAATAATAAATTATTTGAGATTTAATTAATATTAATTAAGAAAAAGCTTCAATTAAATTACAAAGAATTTAAAAGATCTATTAATTTAAATCGAAAGAAAAAGAAGTAAATATACAAATCCGAATATTTAATTTTGAAAATATAATTTCAGAATTAAATAGAATTAAATTTATTTCTCAGAATCCTGATTTTATATTCTGAGAAGTAATTGATTTTTTATATATAGCTTTGAAAATTATAAAAAATTCAATTTTTGAAATATAATTGATATATACCTTAATAAATCTATTAATCTAAATATTATATAAATATTTCAGATTACTAAAATAGTTTATATTAAATAATTAAATTAAATAACTTGAATACAATAATAAATATATATACTTAATATTATTCTCTTTATAATATATTTAAAAAGCTTTTGATTTATGATTTTTATATCTATTTAATATCAATATTCGATATTTGCTTTTTCTTTGATTTTTAATATATTTATTAAAATATTTCAATTATTCTAAATCTATCTTATTGTTTGTTTATTTATTAGATATAGATTTAATAGCTTAATCTATAGGAAAATCGGTTTTAGTATATTAATTAGAAAGATAAACCTATTCTTGAATTATTAGAAATAAGAGTATAGTTTTATTTTCCCTATTATTATATATAATTGCTATAGCTTATTCCCTATTGTTTGATTGTATTATTTTGTTTTTATTATTTCATTTAATACTAATTATTATTATTTTAGGGTATATTATATTTATTATAAAGTTTATTTTATTGAAATTATAGAAATCATAGTCGAGAATACTGTATTTCATTTGTATATTTGAAATTAATTGAAACTACTTTTTAATAAACTTAGGATCTTTATAGAAAGCTCTTTGAAAGTTATAAATATAATTAAAACATATCTTTAATTTGATTCAATGTTTTATGAATTAATACACCTAAAACTTTCCAATATATTTCGCATTCCTTGATTCAAGAATATAATTCACTATATCTTCTATATTCTTTAATTTTAATAAAAATTCTCTTAAATTTATATCAAGTATATATTGAATAATCACTTTTTCTTTTAATTCTATAATCTTATAACTATTAACTCGAATTTCTATATAAAAAAGTAAATCTTTTATTCTATATTAAAGAATTATATAAGGGATATTATAGAATATAATAGCTTTTCGAATACTTAGTTTTTTATTTTTATAAATAAATTCGATAATAAGGAGTATACAAGCTTCTTGATTATTCGAATTCATTATAGATTATTGATAAAATATATATTGAAAAAGAAAGGTGTAAATTGAGGTAAAAGTGGGCCACTTAGTGATATGGGCCACTCGGTGTTAAACTACGTTATATTTATATTATATTATTATTATTCTTTTTTTAAATTTTTTATTCAAAGCAATATATACTACCGCTGTACTACAGGGAATATCAATTTGAATAAAAAAAATTATTATTTAAAATTCTATTCAATATTCATCAAAAAAATAATGAATTAATTCTAATGCTTAGTAAGCTTTTTCGGAACTTCAACGGAAGCATGTAAAAAGATTGACATCGTATAAAAGAAGTACATTATGTAGAGAATTTTACACTGTATATACACTATATAAATTCTCAACATGATGTATACAGCATATAAAATCTTTACATAATGTATACGCCATTTACTAGTTACGCATAGCTCCACTAAGGATATCTTCATGCTAGATTGTAGCCTAGAGCATGTACTTATATGAACAGGGTATCATTTATCCTAAAGCTAATGCTAAACAATTAAAGGAGCAGTTTTATCCTATCATAAGTCGTGGTTCATGCCTCGTTTCGCTTTCGTTATCAGCTACTAACTTGACTAATCATATAACCCCGCCCTCCTTCTCCTAAAACAGCGCCATTCCACCCATTCGATCTATTTATGCTATGATAAGCTGCAATTTGAAGTTAGTCTCAACGTTCCAGCAAGAAAATAAAGAATGGTGCATACCTCAATGAGCCTATCAGTCAGAGTAGTACATTCTCTGGCGACCTCATGATGGCCCTGGTACGTCGAATTCTTCCACAGCCCTCCAAAACCTATACTTCCCAATACTCTGTCTAGTACATCAGCATCTCTCATCGCGGCCGAGAATTGAGGATTAGAGGTAATGGTGCGTAGTAACTGATGTGCAGATTCGAGCGTTATCGAGTTTTGACAAGACATAAGAACGTCGTCTAATATGCTCGTGATTGGGCCAGCCCTTCTCATAGTTAGTAATAGTCTTGATTTAACAGAGCATAGAGAAATGACTTACAGTCGCAACATAACGTTTGACGATGATATGGCAAGTTTATTGAGCCATTGAAATGCACTGTTTTGTATGGTATCGTCTAAGTAGTGAAAGTCGACTAGTCCAATGGCGCAAGTAAGGAGCAACTCCCTCTCGTTGAGACCAGCAATTTGCATTATACTTTCCATATCTGGCTCTGCGTGTGGGGCACGATCTCCTTGTGTGGCAGTTGCTAGCCATAAGCTATGCCCTGCATCTTCTGGGTTAAGAGCTCGACCCAGGAGGAGACCAAGGTATGGCATGCAACTAACATCTTGCGGGAATGACATTCCTTCAGGTGCATTAGTGGTGGTCGTGTCGAGAAATGTTGAGATAACACGCATAGCAGTAGATCTTGTCAATGAATCTGTCATGCCTTTTACCATACAAGCAGAAACTGCAAAGTGGAAGTTTTCTGCGGTGAAATGGATTCCATATATCTCATCTAGTTGTATTGCTGCTTCATCAAGAGGCGCTCGGCCTAGCAACAATGTTTGAATCATGCGCCCGTTACCGAGTTCACCTGATGCTCCAATGTTGAGTAAGACGGCATTCAGAAACATTGCCGCGCAGTTGAAAAGTCCAATCGGAACCAATCTTACAAGGGATAACGCAAGCCAGAACAGTTGGGTTCCATAACGTGATGCCGATGGTAATTTATCCATCATTTTGGTCAGAGCTGTGACTATAGCAACCATCATTTCACTGTCACCGTCATCCATATATCGACCTATGCTACTTCTGAGTGCTACAAGCACTTGATAGAGTAGATCGTCATCAACATCTTCCCGAGCCAAGCAGCCCATAACAGTAAATGCTCTGGGTTGAATGGCTGGATTGCTTTGGAAAGCAGTGCTTGCAACCAAGCTCATCCATCTGGCACGCCATGCGTTTGACAGATCAACAGTCGGGGCTGCCACAATACTTATGTCGGAAAGTAGACTGGCAAGAGATTCTGTGGCTAACAATGCTGAAGGTCCCGAGTCTTGTGACGAAGGAAGAGATGCTCCGTCTCTTGATGCTATGCTAAATAGAGATTCTTGCCGTGGCTCCGATATTGAAGATAGCAAAATCTTCAGTTTAGCAAGTTTGCTTTCCTCTAACACAAATGTGGTACACATAGCATGTATAGTATTGACAAGCAAGCGATGGACGATTAATCTCAAATCGGACGAGCCTGTGTTAGCTAGCATGGTGACAAGATGGAAGACTTCAGGGAGATAAAGTTGAGACTGGACACCGCTGTCGAAAGAAACAGACAATGAAAGTCTTAAGAGAACACAAATTTCGCCCCAAACGGTATTTTCGTGAAGATGCCTTGTCGGTCTGAGCGAAGTACGATTGAGAGCCTTGCGAAGCCTTGATATTAGTTTGCCCCGAATCGTGACTGTACCAAGCGACGCAAGAATAGAACCAAGAATTTCGGTCCGCTCATCATCGATGCCGAAATTGAGAGCTGGCTTAAGAATTTCCTCCAAGAAAATATCAATATAAACTTCATCCTTGCAGATTATGGGCCAGATACTCTGTTCCAGAGTAGTGCTAAGAACAACATCAGATATTGCGACTTCAATAAGCTTCCTGAAAATCACTGCGACTTTGTCTCTTCCTTTATCACTATCTGGTTCATTAGGTATTAGGTGGGTCCTTAGACTTGGTAGCCAGGGTGCCATATATGCCAAGCTCAAGGGCCTTTGCGAGTACGGAAAACTTTCCCATCCAACGAAAAATTCGTTGAGAAAGTCACCAGTAAGCTGAGGCTCGGAGCGTGCCAATTGTGCACTAATTTCAATAATAAATTGAGATGGGTTCAAAGGAACACATAATTCTGAGATTTGTCAGCAAGGATCCAGATTTATGGAAGCAGTAACTCATACCTTTTGTGCTCATGAATTTGGAATCGGCTGCGAACTTAAAGGCTCGACAAAGAGCACACAATAAATTGTATGCTGCAAGACGTAGCACCGCGTCAGGACTCGCCATATTAGTCAGAGCAATGTTGAGAAGTGTCCCTGGTACGTCTTGCGGTCTGACCAGTCGTTCAAACGATTTCAAGGTTCTCAGCTCTTTTCCATGTCTATTCTTAGCACTGCGAATGGATTGTAGAATATCACCCTTTCTTGGACTTGTGAAATACATCACAATCTTGCCGTTGTCAGTCCTTAAACCGAATGCAGAATCATCTTCGGTCTGTATCGAAGTAGGTGCCTCGTCGACCTCTGATAAGCGGAAGATATCATTGACTGTAGCATGTAGTCTAAGTCCTGGTACAACTTCTTGTTTCTTCGTTGTTGTCACTTGGACGAATTGACTACCAATCTTGATTATCACCTCAACCTTACCTTTTGTTTTCGATAGTCTTATGATCGGTTGGAAGACGTATCTCGTGTCTGTGACAACGCTAATTGTCTCTTTTGGCAAGTGGAGCTGCGTGAGATGGAAGTGAGACTGTAAGTCTTGAAGACTACCAATCAAGTGGTAATCAACGTTCTTCGGGTGGAACGCACTGTTCTCACTCTTTGCAGATAGTCGAAGGATGCGCCGGAAACATTTCCTACGCTTGTATTAGTTCGGCTCCTCTCAGGTCCTACTCAATACTCACCTAAATGCACTATTCATGTTGTAGACATATACTCTAGACAGCTGTTTCGAGAGCTCTGTCGGTGTAAGGAGATCAAGTTTCCGAAAGAGAGCATCTGCAGGCTCATTCTGACCATTATAGCAAGTCGCATCAATCAAAATACCAAATGGCTTATGCCACATACGGCTTGCAATCTGCGATATTCAGCAAACAACGTCGTTCAGAATTAACGGGGTTTTACAAACCTTCAAGTAGACATATAACAACAGGTCATAGTCTGTTCCGTCTGTATCGATATTGCGAAGTATAATACAAATCATCGATAACCCATCCTTTTCATGTTAACGCATGGCGCATTCAACACGATAATGGTTACATACCTTGCTTTCGCCTCCATCATATACAGCTCTATTTGATACTACAGCCTCCGAGCTTCGGCCTGCGTTTCTAAGCATGAAATGTTGAAAGCGCGAATATGAAGGCGGTGTATTATGTGAGATTGCTGGTCTATTCCAAGATACGTCCATTGGCGGTGGTCCGAGGTTAGATATCAGTGTTCGGAGGGCATCCAGAACTGGAGTATGACTTTTAGTGCCGTCGATTGGAGATCTAAGAGAGAGTTGCCGTTCCCGTAGAACAAGCTTTTGTCGAACGTGGTCCCAGTGATCATACAAAAATCTATGTAGGGCAACGCAGGAGCCAAAATCAAACGACTCAGATTCCGCAAGTGTTTCTCTTACATTGGGAGGCGCCTTTAGCTGTTAGCTTATTGTTTTCTACCTATTATAAAGGGACATACTGAGATTTCCCGTAAAAATGTCGTTACGCGATATATATTTTGTGTCAAGAAGTCGTTTAGAGGGTACATGTATGGCTCTTTTGCCCCGAAAAGAACGTTGTTTGCCAAATTTTGAACTACTTTAGCAATAAGAAGAAGTCCTCGGCGCATCTCTTTTGATGGCGGGGATGCAATAAGTCCTTCTGCATCAGGAGCGACAATCGCTGGACAGAAAAATCGCAGGAATATAAAAGCACCAACAGCGGTGAATTTGGCATCGGGAAACCTTCTCATCACACAGGAAGATATCTAAACAATATCAGTAGTGCAACAATAGCGAATTCGATTAGCTTACAATATTGCAGATCTTTCGAAAAGACACTGGAATGCGGGATGCAGAATTGCATATATCATCGATAAAGACTTTTGTCACTACACGAAGTTGAAGCGCATTTTTTTGCAACTCTTCGGGGGATGTTGTTCTGGCAGGATCAAGTTCAAGATCCAAGTCTTTTGAAGTGAGAACAAGGCGCTCCAGGACTTTTTGCAGTGTTGCTTTTATATACGCAGCTCCCTTCCATTTGGCATAAACAGAGAGCAGCTTAGTAGCAACACAATTTCTTCTGAGGAGTTCAGCCTCATTTTCTAAAATAAAAAAATTAGCATGCAAGCAGAGGTTTTATATGCATGGCAGAACTTGCCGGTCTCTTCGACCTCATGCTCAATGAGGGCCTCAAGCAAGGCAAAGCCCATACCCCGGGAGTCAAAAATATTAAGAAGTGAGATGGTCATCTCGTCGACTTCCGTACTTGGGCAGGCATCGCAAAGTGCAATTGTAAGAGTCATATCATTGACAAGTAACTGTTAATGGCTATCTTTAGTAAAGGGTCGATTGAACAGGATAAATCTTAACACTGACCTCGAGCAGTTCATCGTACTTTTGATTTACCGCTGCATCGGACAAATTATTAAATTCGGTACCCTGTATCAAAATGTTGCAAAGAACTTTGACGAAAGCTGTTCTAACTTCAATATCTTCATGATAACCAATACCTAAGGAATGTTTGAGGCCAACATCAATATTCGCACTCAAAAGGTTAGAGAGCGCGGAAATCGCAAGCTCCGGGCTGCTCATAGAATCATCGCTCACAGTTGATGTAAGTCGCACCTCGTTCCTACCTATCTCAACCGTTTCGTAATTGAGAAGAGATAGAAACCTATTGAAATAAGTATGGAACATCTGTGATTTTAAATCGCTTGTATCTGCATCGGACTGGCCTTCCGCCGGTTGTAGAGGGAGACGATATGTCAATTCCGCTAATGCCTTCAAAGAGGCTCGATCAAGGTCCTTCTGCAGACGGAACAGTTCATCAAGACGAGTACCTACCAAATGAACACCAGTGTCGGCATTTGGAGTTCCTGGGCGCGCAATCCATCCGAAAATCACCTCTAAAAGCTGATTGCGGATACGCACATCGTGTCTCAAATTCAAGAGCTCTTTCTTTTGTGTGAGAGTCTCACATAATTGACAAATCTTAATTTTAACCCTTAACGCGCTTGCCCCATCTGCTGAACTGTTCAAAAATTTCGCGAAATTGAGTGCCAAAGCACCAATATCAACCGACATGCCTGTACCCAATTCAGCTGGGCTTCCAAGCTTCTCAACAATACTTTTGAGTAGTGCTGCCGCCTGTTCTGCGAAGATGATCCGAGAGTCGACAGGAATCGCGTTGCTTCGTGGACTATCAAACAAAATATCAAGCTCTGTTTGGAGGGCTTCAAATAGAGGCATATGTAGTGCTTTGGCAAGATCACTCGAGAGGGCATCTCTAGTACCTTCTCGTATCCTAATGTTGTTGCTAGCCAACAGTTGGACACTCTGCCGCATATATCGACTAAGTAAAGTCTCATCATCGTAGCTTTCGGCAGGAACCTTATCGATCCATCGCAAACCAGCAAGTACTTGGTCATCCGAGGAAGAGAGTAGAGATTGGCCCACGACGCAAATGCCACCAAGAGAGGCCAGAAATCCAGAACAATTGCGCCACTCTCCCAAAGACCTTTCATCAACAATTTCAGGCCGCGCAATAAGTTGCTTGGATAATCTAACCCATCGATCAAAGATAGTCTCCCATGCGTTAATGATACCAGCTGTAGGGTATTGCATTCGGCGTAAACAACCCCTCGCTCGCTTCTGGAAAGCAACTATACCTGTAAATCTAAAGTCTTTCGAAGCGAGCTCTTGGTACACCTCCATGTTACGCGCGCTTGCTAGGGAATGCTTTGTGAAGTCTGGCGCGGATTCAACGAGACGAATCTCTTCTGCAAATAAGCAGACACTTGACGCAACTAGCTGGCAAATTGCGATGTCGGGCGAGCAAACCGTGACTAAGAAGGTTGTCTCCATCATAGAGTATGCTGCTAATCGCTCTGAAATATCTTCCTCCAACTCGGTTAAGTCCTATAACACGTGAGAAATTGCATTCGAAGATTGCCTTTCACTGCGCGACTGATCGCACAACCATTCGATGAGCTGACTGTTCGAGTGAGATGCATTTGAGAACTATATGAATGTTACTTACTTTGATCTTTTTCAGGAGATCGAGTCTTGCTTGCAAATAACTATGTACAAAACTAAGAGCGTTGTGTTCGTCAACAGTCTGGTTTATAATTTTGCTTGATATTGAACTAAGTATAATGGAGCTAGATAAAAATGCGTCAGCTGCTTGGGTAGTGGGGATGGTGATCGGAGCTCAAAACTTACGTTGATTCCCAAAAGTTAAACTTTGCGGTATTCGAGAATTTGTAGTCCTTTCTTCGCCATGCAGACATCGTTGCTTCAGTCAATGATGACCGACAGACCTCACTAGTTAGGAGTCTGATTTTCTCGTCCTCGGAGGTCAAAAAGGCCATAAGAGCAGCATATACGTCCTCGAAAGCGGCGTCATTATTGTGTGAGGCTAGATCCATGCCGATGAACAAAGCCATTGGGTACACATCCAGGAATACTAGCATGCTGTACACCAACTCCCCCGACGATGAGAATTTCGTTTGTCTATTCATAGTCACATGTTCGATTGGATAAGAGTCTCTGAATCTCAATGTTGTCCCCTTCTTGAGAATTAGCAATGCATCTTGAAATTTATGAAAACACCATACCTTCATGTAAGTGCGAATGAATTCAGACAGTTTAACATATAATGGGTGATAATCACTAGCATTAGACTGCTTGGCGAAATGCGTACATGCTCTTATTACAGCGAGTTTAAAATCTGGAGAAGTATTGGGGGCAAGACAGAAAGGCGCGAGGCTATCAATGCAAGTTCTAAAGTTTAGATGCGCCAAACTGACAAATGCTGCGGTCATCAAACCAGAGTCTATACTTGTATTTTCTGCACCCACGGTATATCTCCTGAATACTGCTTCACGCACTTCTTCCTGGACATCTAAGGCATAGCTCAGAAGTGCCGAATCACTATCGAGCGGAAAGTGTCTTGCGACTCGCAAAACGGAGGTCAAACAATAAATAGCTGCTTCATTTCTGTTTCTCAAAGTCTTCCTCAGCATCTCCAAAAACGATACCTTCTTGGAGATACTGCTACTTTTAATATCTCTCATATTGCTGGCGACTTCAAAGACGTCTGGCAGAAGAAATAACAAAGATGTCTGAAATGGAAATAATAATGTTTTTCGTCTTCCCGCATCTATCATTGTGTTGGTCATATCAAAGAGGGTTTCCGCCCCACCGTCGAGCCTTTTGTGCATTGTGTGTAGTTGGATGAACTCCTCGGGGTTTCGTTCCAGCCATCGGGTGATTAATAGAGGCACGACTATTGCCACAATAGTCTGAAAAGCCTTTCGTAGGTGCAGGAAGCTGCCACACAACTCTTGTATGACAACCCCCAGTTTTCGACTATCAACCCAAAACGACGGAATTAAGCGTACAGTAACGAGCGCCTCATCATCGACTACAGCACCATTCTGTGCTTGGTTTCCATTTGAAGACTGGGCCGCCAGCAGACCACGGAGAGAACCCCTCAAATACTCCAGAGTCCGGGGCCAATTCGAAAAGGAAACAAACTCCACAACTTTCCTTATGCATGCCTCTGTGGATTCGGAATGTTCCTGTATCAATATTGCAGCCTCCGTTGTATTCTGTTGACCATTTGTACCATTCAAAAGATCCAAGCTTGGGGATTGAGCAGCAGGAGAGGTCCCAATGACATCGTCTAGAATGTTGAATGCCGGAAGTACATAGCCGTCCGGTATAGGATTCGAGAACAATTTTATCACATCTATTATTCTTTTGGCCAAATCATCGTCCAAAGCCTCCGGAGGATTATCACGCGCCAAAAGTTTGTTCCTAGATGCCCTTCGACCTTCGGGTTTTATGCTATCGTTTGATCTGAAACCTTGAGAGGGCGCATTTTCTCGGTCGCTACTATTTTCTGAAGAATTGATGCTCTCCCAGTGCGTTGTGCAGCACTCCGCCAATAGCTCTAGTACGTAGAATTCTGAGTGTAAAACATGCAATGGATGCGCCGATATCGTCTTATACGGCCTCGCAAGATCTTCCAGCAGTTGCACAAGAGCTTCGGCGACAACGGCTATAGATGGTTTACTGATATCGACGAGGGTCGTGCGACTCAAAAGGGCAATCTCATCGCGATTGAGATGGTGTGCATCGGCGCCAGTTTTGTGTGGGAGCTGTATTTAAACAAGCAATTAGTTAGCTGATTTGCGACACGTAGAGGAATGCGACTCCGAGTTGGAATTATACTTTTGTAATCAACCTCTCCACCAAAGTAATGACTAGACTTGAGTTATCACTCATGACTTTCTTCGCGGACGGCGTTGGCAACTAGCCAGACTACTCAGTGATTGTCCGACATACGCTTGGAAGCATGTGCGTTCGTCGTTCTTCGTAGGGGCTTATTGAAGCTGTGGGCTTTAGAATCTGTTTACTATCTTGTCTAGAACTGAGGAAGAGAAGCAATTTCGCTGCAATTTAACTGTAGCACCACGGGCATGACACTTATTAATGTGAGGATTTAAGAATTCAGAGGGTCGGAAATATTAGGTGTACCTGAAGTAGCTTGAACTTTACTTAGTTGTAGATTTTGGGGGTTGCTTGGAACTCGCACCTCACACACGTGTAGTCATGGATAAACAAGTTCGCTGTGGAGAAGAAAGTATTGGGGGATGGGATGGGACTTTTTTTTTCCGGTTTGGTCTCGGCAACTGAGGTTCAGCAACAAATACGTAGAGAGGGTGAGTGTGCCTACCTACTATCGGCGTACATAGGTGACAGGTATGTGAAGGCTAAATCATATTCATTCAATGCATCGTTGTTGTTGTTTGATGTTTGGTAACTTTGTTGTTATTGTACTCTACGAGTTGACAATACAAGTGAACGCCTACCTAGGAAGGCCAAATGCACAGGAGCGGGAATTTTATCTACTACTATCATCGTTCCATGCTTCCGCTATTTATCCTTAAAGAAATGACTTGCATACCCTCGTTTCATAATGTTTGTTACATTAACATGAGACAAAATTGAAATTTCAGGAACATGTCAACATGCCATCGAGTTTTGGCTACCTACAGCCTACCTACATGCATATGTGGCCATGAAAGTGCACCAAATGCTCATCTTACATTGCTTGGGCTGATTAGATTTGTCCCTTTGATTCCTGACGACCAAGTCCCATTTGTAGAATTCATTGATACACACAATTCTAGATAATACACGGCACATTTTAGTCATGGCACCATTACTAATATTTGGTAACAGTGGCAGAGTCACGCCATTGGGTTTTCACTGATAATTCTAGATATTTTCAAAGGTAGGACATTAACATTTTGATAGAGTTTTTGACTTGAGATCCAGAAACGCCCAATTATTTTCTAGGTAATGTCATGTCGTCCCAATTCTTTGCGCCCTATGGATGATACAAGCCTATAATATTAGACATGCATGAGGTCAGATCAACATATCTCTTTTCCCGTCTCATTCTTCCCCCTCTCGATTTCTTCTAATTCTTTAAATTTCTGCTCAATTACCTCCTTACTCCTGTTGGTCCTTTTGAGCTCTCTTGATTTCGATGTAGCAAGTTTGGCCTCTGGATCAATATCATCGTATTGTACATAGAAAAAAAACATCTTTTAATGGTAGATCAGCGAAAATTATTGAAGTAACCTGATTTAACGTCTTCCACCATAATTGTTGTAATTGTTATAACCTCCGTATCCGGGGGGAGGTGGTGGTGGATATGCACCATATGAGCCTGGTGGTGGTGGTGGAGGTCCACGAGCAAACCCTCCAGCTCCGGGTGGAGGTGGCTGCCAACCTGGTGGAGGAGGCGGTTGACTGTAGTTATTATAATTGTTTTGAGAACCATAAGATTGGTTGTTATATCTAGGTGCTGTCGTTCCTGGACCATTGTAACGATTGCCATTGCCGCGATTGTTGTTACCAGAACCATAGTTGAATTGGTTGCGACCTCTTCCATCACCTTGTAACGGCACTCCACCGTGATTTCGACCTGATCTGGATGCCCTGCTTTTTGTCATTTCGATGTCGCTCTGATTGAGTGCTGGTTTGCCGAAATCCACTCCTACTAATAACATAGACTTGTGATTATGGTTAGACTTGGGCATCTCATAATGTACACTAGATAAATTGTAAGCGAGGTACTATTGAAGAGTTGAAGTATAATTACCGTATTGATCGATCTTCATCGAGGCTTGGCATTGCATCACTGTCCAATGGGAACGCCAAAGAGCTGTATGGAAGGTAGTCCTCGTTCTTCTCGATCCGTCCTGTTAACCCTTCACTGACCTTGGGGTTCAATTTCATATAGGGTGCATCCTGTTTCTTTGAGTAGAATTTGCTGGTGATTTCATCATAAAGATCATGATGAGCTTCTGAGACCAGGAGAACATCTTTTCCAAGGCCGTTGCGAGCTGAAACTTCCGCAGGTAACGTGGGATACACCTTAGCCATTGCATCGAGCAATCGCTCCGAATCAATAAATGGTAATAGAGCAACGCCTTGCCAAGCGAATTTCTTACCGTTCAAGTCAACTACAAAGTCTTCGGGATAGAAATCGATGATCTCGCTATCTTCATTGGTCATTAGATGATGAAATTGCTCCGGAATAGCTTGTCTTGAAGCGGCTGGAAGGACTCCCATAAGTTGTTCAAACGGTCTGAAAATCCTTCCTTTCTGGAAATCGATTTTCATATCCTTAAGATTGGCAAAATCTGCGGCAAAAGGAGCATAATGATAAGGGTAATACCAATCCCAAGATGGACATCCTTGGAAGTAGTATAGCAAAACCCAGGCCAGTCCTTCAACATAGGCTCTGCCAACCTCATGACGAAACTCGATGTCCTTAGGATCTCTGTTGAACTTCTGCTCATAATATCTATCAGCGTATCCATCTTCCCATAGCCTGACGGTGTCAGGAGGAAGGTCGTCTCCTGGTGTTGTTGGGGTTCCCGGTGTCCCAGGAGTGGGTGTGTTGCGTCCTGGCGTGCTACTGTCATCATCCTCAATGAGCTCTGCTTTGCGTTTTCCCAGTGCCGTCGCTGGTGATTCCGCCGACGGATCATCGGCTTTAGGCTCACCGTTATTATCAGCTGACTTGCCATTCATCATTTCCTTCAGGGCTGCAGCCGCGCTTTTGTTAGCGATACTAGCCTTGTAAGCTGCACCTCGGTTCATCACCATATCATGGGTCATAGCCTTGGCTTCCTTGTTGGCCGTGCCTGGAGTGAACAGTGGCAAGCCGGTCGGAGCAGCTCCACCAGGAGGCTGTCTACCGTTGGATGGCGAATCCTGTGGACCACCGTTATTTCCACGACCACGAGCATTTCGCTCATTGTTGAGCTTGCGCTTCTTTTGGAAGTTCTCTTCATTCCTTCTTCTTTTCCTGAAGATGGCATCCTCTTGCTTAGCCAATCCATCGAGGATGAATTGAGCCCTTTCGAGGTCTACATGGCCATCTTTAGTCAGATAACCACCCATGTACGGAATGTTATCACGCCAGATGGCAATCAGAGTATTGATACCGTCCTCTCGAATTTCGAGACTGGGAAGATGAGGTAAGAAATCATTGCCGACAAAGAAACACATAAAAACCCAGTCGTCTAGAGCTCTTTCAAGATCGAATCTGAAAGGTTGGCTAGGAACATACATCTCTGCAGCTAGGTATTCTCGAAGAACTGAGACATGGAGCCAAATAAATGGTTTGAGAGTAGGGGCGCTAGCCTTTTCATCAAACTCACCATCCTTTATTTTGTACATGCCTTTGCATTCTCGGGCTTCATGCCCATGTTGGCCGCACAATTTACAGGTCCTTGGTTTTCCATCATTGAAGAAAACATCTTCTCTCAATATACGAAAATGAGGTTCATGTGTTGCAAGACCCAACATGATCAAGTCGGCATCTAATCCATACATGACATGACGGGTATTAGGATCATGATCAGGAGAAGATCTTTGGGATCGAACAAATTCCATGATTTTGTGTTCACCCTCTCCTGGGACGGTAGAATCTGAGATGATGACTTTCATCTTTGCCCAAGCGGGGTCAGTGTTGAGTTTGTATGCAATCCAATATCTGAGACTAAGGGCCAAAATGTCCATGAATGGAGTTCCCGGTGTAATTTCGTTGGAATCCCAAGCCTTCTTGATTTCCGCATCTTCAATATGGCTACCTTGGGACTTCAACATCTTGAGCAACTCTGCCTTATCTTCAGCCTTCTCTTTCGCCTCTTGCGCTGAACGAAATCGGCGAGAGCGTTGTTGATTCATCTTGGCACGTGGCGCTACTCCGTCAATAGCAATCATCAAGAGTTTCCTGGGTCGCACCATGTTAACTACTCGATCCGTGTACTTGAAGATTTCCAACATCATTTCCTCCTCATCCTTGGGTGGGGGGCGATCCTCCGGATGACCTGAAGATTAAGTATTAGCATAAGTCAGAATGGCAAAATTGGTCTTGTCGACGATCTGGTGTATGGAAATGAACATACTACAAGGGTGGACGATTCCGTTCATGTCCAAATAAAGGTTGTCGCATTCCTCTCCGTTAGGATTTGGTCCCCTGATATCGATAGGGATGATTTGTCCATCAATTTCGCGTGGTTGCTCTTCAATGACAGGCGATACAATCTTGGGATATTGCTTTGTCTAGAAATCAAACAATATTATTAGCAAATCAAGAAACGATGAAGTGTGAGAATCAAAACTTACCAGCCATCTAAACAGTGCTGGAACACCCATTGCGAAAGGATGATCTACGATTTATTTGAAGGTGATAAGTGATAAAATAAGAGAAAAGTCTTCAAAATAGGTACAGAGCTGGTATAGGTTCGAGATTGCCTTGCGCTAGTCCAATCTACTTATCAGATTATCGAAATGTCGCGAAGAATAAATCGCGAGACTTTTCTTAGGCGGATGCGCCTTCAAAAGTATGAAAGTTTTGAATATCACGGCGATGCGCAAAATGATATATTCAGAGAACCGTGGCACAACTGTATATGTGAAGTTGAAAGAAATAGAAATAGAACATTGAAAAGATGCTGCAGCTGCAATTCATTGTATGTTAGCTTCGGACTTCGGTTGGGACCACCAGTGGACAGGCTCTAGGCAAACTAGGGACGGAATGTTTTTCGGTTTACCGACGCTAGAGGCTCAATTGCGCTAGTCTACATTTGCATGTATGTCTGGAGAAGCTCCCAAATGAGATTTAATCCAGCAAACTCCAAATTTCGAACACACATACTCCTTGTGGCGGATTCAATATGCAAAAAAGGTGACATTAT